TGAAAGGTGGAAGCAGAGAATGAGAGGCAGGTAGAGGTCCTGATTAAAGTTGGCCTCAACTCTACATCTCTATACATTAGTTAACCAATAACCGAAACCTCTCAAAAGATATAGGCTCAATATCGTCAGAACTGTCAGAAATCACTCTGAGTAAGAGCTTCAACCAAAACCTCTTTATAACAGCTGAAAACTACTTAAAAAACAAGTGTGCATCAGAGAGAAAACTGAAACTTAGCTGCTGAAGCCCGCTTAAACTTCAGTAAAATCTTGCTTTCCAAGGTAAAGGTTACATTTCTGACCCCAACTAAACAACTGACAAAAGAAAGAAAGGGTACGAAAAAGATTTGAAACCTCACATTCCTATGATTCAGGAGCTGCTAAAAATCCCTTTAATAAAAAAAAAGACAAAATACAGACAACTCTCTATATTCCAAACTGTGGGCAATAAGGTGAATGACTGGAGTTAAAATTTACTAATTTTGATAAGCAAGATGTGAATCCTTAGATAAGATTAGACCTCAAGAACCCAACATATCTGGAATCCAGCTCTAGAATCCTAAAGGACAGACAAGGTCTCCAGCAAGCAGCACAGTAATGGCCCCTCTTTCTGACTGAAGAGGCAGAGAGATACTTCTGGAAGCAGGAAAAAAAAGATCAGGCAGAAACTAATGGGTTCAAGAGTCAGCTGTGTCCTGACCTCCAATGCAGCCTAGCTGGATAGGTGCTGAATGGGCATGGAAATGATTTTGCTAAAGGCAGTGCAGCTTCATTCCTTTTTCCAACAAAACTCTCAGTTGTCTACTAATTTAAAAAAACCTACTTGTTTTGGGAGGTGAACTAATTTACACTTGCCATCTAAGATAACAGGAAAATACAAAACACACCAGAAATGAATCACACCCCTCTTGTAATTGGTGGGCAGAGTACATATCCACAAACATCCCAGGCTATTCAAGCTAGATCAACAACTTAGATATTGGGAAAAAATACATGTAACTCTCTACAGTTGCTTTTTTGTTAGACACTGTTGGTTGAAATAAATCATTGTGTCTCTTTTTCTTTATATTAAGATCACTTGAGCTCAAGAACACTCCGTAAATGTATCCTATCACATTACTGAAAACAGTACATTTTCTTTTAAAATAAGGAAGGAAAGCCCTGGCAGATGGTTTCTTTGTACCAAGCCAGGAAGAGGGGGCTGCTGAAGCTGGCTTATCATCTTGGAGCAGGAAGTATCGAGACAGGTTACCAAAGCAACCATCCCTAATATTTCTTCCATTTCAGAACAGTGTCAAGACAGAAGGAGGGAGACTGGTGCAACAAGCGGTCCCAGCCACTGGACTAGTGCAGGACACATCAAGGCAGGAAAAAGAAGTTGTCAAAGTAACTGAGCCTGGCTGGCACCTCCTAATACCTGGAAAAACTGTTGAAACAACCAGTCCTTGTTGCCACATCCTCTTAGGCCAGGAAGTGTTGAAGCAGCAAGAGGCAGATTGCTGAGGCAGCAAATCTTGTTGAACCTCTCTGACAGAAGATATGTCAAGGGAGTTAAGATGTGCCATATGTACCTTATAGGTGTACACCCTCAGTCTGAAGGATGAGAGCTCCTAATTAGAGAGGCATGGCAACCAGGTATACTATAGGGCAATACACAAACAAAGCCACCAATGGCAGCTACTTTCTTCTGATGAACCTGGATGACAAAGGAAAGAGGAAAAATAATTTGCAAGACATCAGGATCAAAAGAAACAGAAAACCAATATAATCCAAGGCTGTGCAAATCACCAACTGCCAAATCCAAGACAAAAAACAATTAAAAAGGTAGAAAATAAAAATGGCCACAATCACATCAATCAGTTATAACTATTACCTTTAGAAATGTGTAGTTTATTCCCTGGTTATGCAGATTTACATGAAGCTTACTGAATAAAAAAATGACAGTTTAAAATGGAATCTTTTAATCTAGTTGTGTTGAAAAAACATTTTAAAGCTATTGCATTATATGGCCTAAACTTAAGTATGAACTGTAAATTTACACTGCTGCAAAACAGTCAATAGGACAACACAAGTACAACCAAAAGCAGAACTTGGCCCACTGAACGCATCCGATGAAGTGAGCTGTAGCTCACGAAAGCTTATGCGCAAATAAATTGGTTAGTCTCTAAGGTGCCACAAGGACTCCTTTTCTTTTTGCGGATACAGACTAACACGGCTGCTACTCTGAAAGAAATGCAGGAGTAACTCTGGCCTGGTTAATGTGTATTTGTGTTGTTTTAAAAATAGGTTTTGACATAAAAGTCTCAAAAGCACAAAATAGTATCGCTCAATTAAAAACCTCTTCTGCCAGAGAAATCTGTTAGAAGTATACAATGTGGGAAACGCCCACCACCTTTAGACTCTGATTATCCGCACCAAATATAGAGTGAAAGTCTGACATTCCCCGGTCCCTAAAGGAAGTACGATGTTGACCAAGAAAAACAGCAACAAGAGACGTTGCAAAATGGGGAATGGTTACAACATAAATACTATTTACTCCAGAAGAGATCTAGGGATGAGGGGAATGAAGTGCCATGAGAGGCCTATGAAACAAGAGATCTGAAATACTCCGCCAGGCCATTGCCACCTACACCCCCAAGAGATCTCTCTTCCATGTCTAGACACCCCTTTTCATGTAAAGACCCCAGACACCCAAGCATTAGCACCCCAGTGTACCCCAAGCCACCACAAGGTACAAAGCCAGGCTCTGGCCACTAGCACCTCCTCCTCCCCCTACTGCCCCCCTCCCAGAGGGAGTGCCCCAACCCCCATTTCCAGTGCACTAAAACTAAACCATGCCCCACTCCCCCCCCCTTTCCTCAGCAAGGTCAGCTCTTCCTCCCTCCCCCTCCTATTCCCCCCCCCTTCCCTCAGCAAGATCAGCTCTTCCTCCCTCCCCCTCCTATTCCCCCCTCTTCCCTCAGCAAGGTCAGCTCTTCCTCCCTCCCCCTCCTATTCCCCCCCCCTTCCCTCAGCAAGGTCAGCTCTTCCTCCCTCCCCCTCCTATTCCCCCCCCCCTTCCCTCAGCAAGATCAGCTCTTCCTCCCTCCCCCTCCTATTCCCCCCCCTTCCCTCAGCAAGGTCAGCTCTTCCTCCCTCCCCCTCCTATTCCCCCCCTTCCCTCAGCAAGGTCAGCTCTTCCTCCCTCCCCCTCCTATTCCCCCCCCTTCCCTCAGCAAGGTCAGCTCTTCCTCCCTCCCCCTCCTATTCCCCCCCCTTCCCCCAGCAAGGTCAGCTCTTCCTCCCTCCCCCTCCTATTCCCCCCCTTCCCCCAGCAAGGTCAGCTCTTCCTCCCTCCCCCTCCTATTCCCCCCCTTCCCTCAGCAAGGTCAGCTCTTCCTCCCTCCCCCTCCTATTCCCCCCCTTCCCTCAGCAAGGTCAGCTCTTCCTCCCTCCCCCTCCTATTCCCCCCCCCTTCCCTCAGCAAGGTCAGCTCTTCCTCCCTCCCCCTCCTACTCCCCCCAGCTCTTCCTCCCTCCTACTCACCTCCCGCCCCTCAGGCGGGGTCAGCTCTTCCTCCCCCATTTCTCCCCCCCACCCAGCAGCAAGGTCAGCCCTTCCTCCCCAGCGAGATCAGCTTTTCCTCCCTCTCCTCTCTATCCACCCCCACCCGGGGTGCTGGGAGCGGCCCACACCTGCCATCCTTGGCCGCCTGAGCCGGGGTGTCCTCCGTGATGACCTGGGGCCGCACAGCGCGGCGCTGCCGCAGGCCCTCAGCCTCATTCATGCTGGCCAGCGCCTCAGCCCACCCCGGGCCCACACAGGCGCGCCCCGCCCCATAGCGTCCCGCCCCCCGCTCAGCCCCGCCCCACAGCGCCGCGCGCGCCCGAGCCCCGCTCAGCCCCGCCCCATAGCGTCCCGCCCCCCGCTCAGCCCCGCCCCACAGCGCCGCGCGCGCCCGAGCCCGGCTCAGCCCCGCCCCATAGCGTCCCGCCCCCCGCTCAGCCCCGCCCCACAGCGCCGCGCGCGAACCCGAGCCCCGCTCAGCCCCGCCCCACAGCGCCGCGCGCGCCCGAGCCCCTCTCCATAGCGTCCCGCCCCCCGCTCAGCCCCGCCCCACAGCGCCGCGCGCGCCCGAGCCCCGCTCAGCCCCGCCCCATAGCGTCCCGCCCCCCGCTCAGCCCCGCCCCACAGCGCCGCGCGCGAACCCGAGCCCCGCTCAGCCCCGCCCCATAGCGTCCCGCCCCCCGCTCAGCCCCGCCCCACAGCGCCGCGCGCGCCCGAGCCCCGCTCCATAGCGTCCCGCCCCCCGCTCAGCCCCGCCCCACAGCGCCGCGCGGCCCGAGCCCCGCTCCATAGCGTCCCGCCCCCGCTCAGCCCGCCCCACAGGCGGGACCGAGCCCGCTCAGCCCGCCCCATAGCGTCCCGCCCCCCGCTCAGCCCCGCCCCACAGGGCGCGCGCCCGAGCCCCGCTCAGCCCGCCCCATAGCGTCCGCCCCGCTCAGCCCCGCCCCACAGCGCGCGCGCGCCGAGCCGCTCCATAGCGTCCCGCCCCCGCTCAGCCCCGCCCCACAGCGCGCGCGCGCCGAGCCCGCTCCATAGCGTCCCGCCCCCGGTCAGCCCGCCCACAGCGGGAGCCCGCTCAGCCCCGCCCACAGCGCGCGCGCGCCGAGCCCGCTCCATAGCGTCCCGCCCCCCGCTCAGCCCCGCCCCACAGCGCCGCGCGCTCCGCTCAACCCCGCCCCCTCACTCAACCCTGACACCTAAGCAGCCGTAGGCCCCGCCCCCTTGCCCGGCTCCTCCCCACAAACTGTCACAGGCCCCGCCCCTCCGCTGTGCGTTCTGTTCGGCCAACTGGCGGACACAAAGCCCCGCCCCCTTCTCCCACAGGCACCCGCGCGCCCCGCACTTTCAAATCCAAGCCCGCCGCCTCACGAGCCACGCCCACCGTTCTGGGCGTGGGAGCGGCCATGTCGCCGCCCGCGCAGAAAAATGACGTGTCGGGCAATTAGCCAATAGTCGCCGCCGGCTGTTGGCGCGAGAGGACGCGCGCCGCCGGTTGCGCGGGGCGGGTGGAGTGACTCCCATCGTCCTTTTCGTCCCCTCAGCGCTGAGCGGGACGGGGCTAGCCCTGGCCCCTCTCGCCCGCCGCTGCCGGCGCCGCCCTGCCCTGCCCTGTTCGCGGCCAGGCCCCTCCCGCAGCCGCCACCCGCGCAGACCGGGCTCCCCCCGGCATCCCCCTCCCGCTCCATCCTCCCCAGGGCCCTCCACAGCCTCCCTTGGGGGGTGGTCCCTAGCCTCGCTCAGTGCCGCCCGCCTGCGGACAACGGTGACTAGCTCCGGGTAACGTCCCTAGAGTCACGTGTCCGCCCCCCCCCCGTCCCTCCGTCACAGCGGCTGGGGGCTGGGCCGCTGAGCGGCTTTCCACGGAGACCGCATCCTCCTTCCGGCCCCCCCGGCCCCCAAAGAACAGCTCCCCGGGGACCCGCACGGTAAGCCTCGTGGTGCTCCGGGCAGGCGTTTCCCGGTGCCTGTGTGACCTGCCGAGCGGCTGATCCCGAAGCCTGCCCCAGGCGGGAGTGCCCAAGCCAAACCCGCCTGGCGGTGGGGCTGCGTCCGCTTGCACCCAGCGCCTCTTGGGGCCAAAACCCCGCCAAACTCCAAGGGAAACGGGAGTTTGATCTGAGGAAAATGGGAGGAGTGAGGGCAAAGCCGAACGACAGTGGGTCCCTAGGCGCTCTCAGGTGCGGTGCCACCCCGTGGTCTCCATGGTTTTGCCCATGTTATCATAGGAAATAACTGTGTGAGAGCTGACCTCACTCTGTCTCTGGATTCATGACTATTTACATGTTTATCCACAGGCAATAGACATTGAGCCCGAGAAAGAGCATGACTAGTCCAGTGACTGGGGCAGCCGCCTGGGAGGTGGGAGAGCTAGTGTTTAGGCCCCCTGCTCTAATCACTTTGTCATTTAGCCTCAGGAACAGCTTCAACAGGTGACACTAAAAGAGCCCCACATCAGAATATCCCACAGCTTGGTGGTTAGAGCACTCTCCTGAGAGATAGGATTTGAACAGGGGTCTCCCTTCTCCCCTGCTAGCAGAGAAAGGGGAATTAAACTTGGGTCTTCCACATTCCAGGTAAAAGATATAAGGTGGGTGCTGTTCCCTCCTCCTTCAGGTGGATTTTGGGTGAGACTTGAGCTAGCAGGTGTGCTCAGAGGCTCAAGCTCTAGGCTGCCTAAGTTGCATGCAGTGCCTATCTTCCCTGGGTTTGTGAATCTCTCTGGGGCTTAGGGAGGCAGTAGTGTGAAAGCCCCAGGAAATTTTTACAGCAGAAAGACGCTGAATGAGATTTAGGTGCCTACAGGCAGCAGCCAAGCAGGAGTTTTGTGGCTTGCAGTGATGTGTAAAACTGGGACTTAGGCACCTAAGTTACTTCAATCACACCCAATAATTGTCAGGGCAACTAAGGCCCTGATCCTACACCTTTACAGTCAATGAGAACGTTGCCATTGACCTCACTGAGCAGAGGCTCAAGCTGTTAGTGAGAGAAACCTGGTTAATGGAGGTTTCAGAGTAACAGCCGTGTTAGTCTGTATTCACAAAAAGAAAAAGGAGTACTTGTGGCACCTTAGAGACTAACCAATTTATTTGAGCATAAGCTTTTGTGAGCTACAGCATCCAATGAAGTGAGCTGTAGCTCACGAAAGCTTATGCTCAAATAAATTGGTTAGTCTCTAAGGTGCCACAAGTACTGCTTTTCTTTCTGATTAGTGGAGAACTTTTGTACACATATTCTGGTCAGGTGTCAACTGTAAACTGTGCAGCTGAATCTCAAAAAGCTGGCTGCCACAAAAAGACTTTATTCAAGAGATCTTTACTGTATTGTGAAAATTTTTGTATCCACTAGATGGCACTAATAAGCTGTACTGATAGGATAAGTTTCAGAGTAGCAGCCGTGTTAGTCTATATTTGCAAAAAGAAAAGGAGTACTTGTGGCACCTTAGAGACTAAAGGTGCCACAAGTACTCCTTTTCTTTTTGATAGGGTAAGATAGCCCTGTCAAGCCCTTGGCTAGTTTCTTGGCTACAAAGGAATACTCAGTATAAAGGATCACAGTCTATACAGCTGGGCTGAAATTCTGGCTGTGTTTAAGACAATGGCAAAAGTCCCCTTCACTTCAAGGAGGGGACAGAATTTCACCCCAGGTGCATTAGATGAATAAGACCTGGGCAAGAGGCTCCCTCACTTTTTCAGATAAAGGCAGACAACCTTTGTAAATTTCTGCACCAAAAATCTGTATTGGTCTTTGGTGGTGCCCTCATTTATAAAGGAACTGCTTATGGTCCTAGGCAAGTACCTGAACTTTCACCTGGGGCCTTTGTACACAGTGCTTGCTGCAAAAGGGTGGATTTATGAGCACTGGGCCTACTGATGACCTCCAATGCCTGTAGTTTCCCATTAGTGTGGCCAAGCTGTTGCAGATTGAGATCTGAGTTAAAGGCCTCTTCCCAGGTGTTTCAGCAAAAAGATGCAAACAATGCTCGCCAAAAGCCTGGCATAGCAGTTTGCAAGATAATAGAGGCACTACAAAACTCAGGGCTGGTAGGCAATGCTCTTTCACCTAATGTGGACAAGTCCTCAACTTAGCTTGTTAGTCTCCCAACACACAGTGCATGCTCAGAAAAGCTGACTGACAATATAGCACAACATCAGCTCCTTTCTACACTGTAACTTTATCTAATTCCTGGGGCCTGATTTCCCTCTGCCTAGCACAGGGGTTCTTAAACTGGGGGTTGGGACCCCTTAGGCGGTCACAAGGTTATTATGTGGGATGTTGTGACCTGTCAGCCTCCACCCCAAAACCTGCTTCACCTCCAGCATTTATAATAGTGTTAAATATTTAAAAAGTGTTTTTAATTTATAAGGGGGGTTGCACTCAGAGGCTTGCTGTGTAAAAGGGGTCACCAGTACAAAAGTTTGAGAACCACTGGCCTAGCACCATGAGTTGTCATTCGCACCAGTGCAAGCGCATGGGAAAAGCGGTTCTGAGGTGGTAGCATTTTACACCCATGCTATGCTTGCTTTGCACAAATGTAAATGAGGACCCAAAGTGCAAGGCAGCAGGAAGGCAGGCCTCTTGTGTCCTTTTTCTCTCTCCCTTTCCACTGCATTTTGTTTCCTTCCATTCTTCCCCAGTTCCTTCTGGCTACTTCGTTCACAAGCTGCCTTTGTTTCCTCACTACTTGTTTCTCATGTGTTGATTTCCTCTTGCACCTTCTTACACTATTGCAAGCACTGAGCTACAGTAGATTAAGAATGGAAAGCCCCTTTGCTCCCCCTGCCATGTGACAGAAAGGTCCTGCTTTTCAGCAGACATTCCTAGTAAGGTTGCTCTAAGGCTGTGCATTTCTAGTATTTCATTACCCTGCAGAGGGAGGACTGGAGATGTCTAGGCTGCAGCTGGATGTGTAATTTACAGCTCAGGCACACATAACCGTGCTAGCTCTGATTGAGCTAGCATGCTAAAAATTAAAAAGTAGCCCTGGTGATGGGAGGAGCTAACTGATCTAAATACCTTCCTGTCTGAACAGGCTGAGTAGCCCAGCCAGCTGCTTATGCTGCTGCATTTTTATTTTAGGGTGCTAACTCTATCAGCACTAATGCAGGTATGTCTGCCTGAGCTGGCAGTTACACCTCCAGCTCCCAGGTAAATGCATCCTTAGTTCCCTGCTTTCTTTCAGCTTTCTTAGTTCCCTTAGAATGCCTCAATCTGTCCAAGAGGTTTTACAACTGCTAAAGTGTTAAAACTACATTGGCTCCTCCTCCGTCCTTGGGAATGAGGTGGTGATTTCTATAAAAAAAGAGAGTGCAGAGGGTGTGGTGGTAGCCAAGGCATTGTTCATCATCCTGAAGCAAAGTTTAACTTTTAAATGTTTAGATCAATAGGAAAGCAAACGCAAGAAAGGTGAAAGGTCCACACTAACCAGGTTTTAGCATGTACTAAAAAAGAATAACAACATACTTCTGAACAGTATAATTTTGATAATGCTCAAGGAGAAGGGACTTTGCTCAGGAGAATGCAAATGGGATGTGGAGCCTTTCACCATTTTTGGTTTGAATTCAGTCAGCACTGGATAGGGACTGTAGGTTGACTAAAGTTATTGGATTTCAGCCTACTTCCTAGTAAACATCTGTCCACATAAACAAACACCACAGCAGGTGGCAGATCCTTTCTTTCTTGTACTAATCTGTCTCCCATTACACCTCACAATCTTTAATATATTTATCCTCACGGCACCCCTGTGAGGCAGGGAAGTACTATAAGCCCCATTTTATAGATGGGAAACTGAGGCACAGAGAGACCAAGTGCCTGAGTCCCAGCCCAGCACCCTAACCCTTGGACCATGCTCCCTCCTGAGTCATGGTAGAAGGACAGAGACTGAGTAGAAAAGGAGGCTGAACTAAGTTCTTACCTATAGAGGTGGAATTTCTGGAACTAGATGAGGCATGGTAACCACGTAGAGGTATCATCATGAGTGGTAGTTACTTGGAAACTGTAATCTATACAAATCACTTATTCATAGCTCCAAAAGTAACCTATTATATATCCCTGATTAGTGCTTCTCAAAAGTAGTACTAAATTACAGGCTGCTTAGAGATTCCTTTTGCCTTGTGTGTTTAAACTGCATGATGATACCAAGGCTGTGCTCAGGACTGTGACTAACATCCTCACACTCAAGACAGGACTGGCAAGAAAAATAACTGACTTTTTGAACCTGAAAAGTTAAGTTACTTCTCAAGGTTACAGTTAAACAACAGAAATTCATTGCTGAAACCAGGATGTAACTTGCTATTACAACCGTAACTGCTACTATAATAACCCAGAATAGCAGGGGAGGTGTGAGCTGAAGACACAGCCACTCGCCCATTATGCTGAGAAATTGTGCCAGGCAATGTTAATCACCAGGTCAGCTAAAGCACAAAACACAGTAAGGAGGGGAAATACATTTTAACTCTTGAGAGCAGCTTGCATTTTCAAGGTGATGCTTGTCAGAATGGATGTAGCAGCATTCATGAGCTGCAAGTGTGTTTGGATGTTTGTCCAAGTGAAGTTGCTGGGAGGACAGTTGCATTCTTTGGGGGGCCAGTTAACAAATATGTGCTATATACTCATCTGTATTAGCTGAATGGTGTTATTCACGTGGTAGTCTAAGGGTTACATAAAATCTTCACTGGACTTTAGGAGACAAGGAAGGCCCTTTGCAGAGATGTGCTATCCGTACTCTTGACATTTGCAAATAGTACTCAGCACCTGGCAAAATACTACCTCACTTCTATCTGCTAAAGCATGACTTTTGGATAGATGCAAATTCTCTTGAGATTGCACATTCCCTCCCATTCTCCATAAAGTCAGTTTTCTTTTTAATTTGTGCATCTCACTTTGCAACTTGTAATACCATCTGGGCTCCCAGTGAGGCAGCTGTATGGCTGAACTGCCCAAAGAAATTAACACCGAAAACTGCCTAGAAATTTCACTGAGGCGACAAAGTGGGAAAAAAATCTCAGAAATAGGATTCAAACTAGATTGCTCTCTGTAATGTGTTGTACCTGCCCAGAAAGCCACTATCAAAATAATTCAGTTTGTTTCTTCATTAGGAAGAAACGCAGCGCAACCCAGAACTCCCCACCTTCTGTAGCTCTGTTTTGTGGTGGGAGTTGTACAATGCAAATGCAGTGCTCCTTAATGAGCTATTTTTCAGTGAGAAGATTCTTAAGTAAACCTGAACAATTTTGGCACTGTGTTTGAATCGAAGAGTGAGATTTAACTCATCTTGATCTAGGAAATTCCTTTGATTTTGAAAAGTAAACCATGTGTAAACAAATCGCAATAATCAGTAAAGGCAGATTTGCATCTCCAGAGCTGAATAAACCCATACCTCAAAAACTTTAAGGGATAGGTGGTGTACGTCAAGGCTAAGGTGCATAAGCTATGCCTGGCATTGAAAAGAAGACACATTATATACAGGGACAGGGATTTCTTTTAATGAAAATCTGAGTACATATATTATTCCAGAGTCTAGTTTTAAGGCACTTGTGCCCAGATCTTCACAGGCATATAGGCTCTGGTGCCTAAACACCTGTGAGGATCTGGATCCTGGTCAAAAAACAAATTTTTATTTAAACCATATGATTACAATAAAATAGAAGTTCAAGGTGCTTTGTTAATTTGTTCCATATTTATATCCCACATCTACAAAACAATGACTTAAATAAAATTAAGAGACTCATGGCCTATGTCCACAGTATTTAACAAACGTGCATATCCACAGAGGGGGAAAAAAGGCAATATGGCTAAAAGTCATAGGTGGAGAGTGGAGTAATGAAACAATGTGCAGGTTAGACATGTACACAAATCTGTACAGAAAGCATTTGGTTCACTACAAGATTGTGAAAAGAAAAGGAGTACTTGTGGCACCTTAGAGTCTAACCAATTGTGGCAACAGACAAAGAATTTGTAGTCAATGCAAAATCTTATTTCCCTGTTTAAAATTTCCTGGTAGCCCTTCAGTTTAAAAAGAGTGTAAAGGTAATTCAGGATGCTATATCAGCTGCAGCAAAGGCAAATGTGATCTGGAAAATACAATTTTACGAGCTAATGTTGGCCAATAAGATGTTTGGAAGATTCCATTACCTTTGCTTTTGTTCTTTGTTAATGAAGCCAACATCAGTAAATCTGTTCCGTTCCCCGTCTTTCAAATGTTTTGCATATCTCTAGCTCCTACGTGACCAGCTTGCGTGAGGAGCAATTTCAAGAGGAGGAAGGCATATGGCTATTTGGAAGCTTCATATCCTCCAACATTCCAAGGAAAGAGATAAGTACATTTTAAGGCCAATCCTGCAAGCTGATCCACAGGGACAGGACCCTATGAACCCCTAATGACTTCAGTGGGGCTTGTAAATGTGACTGCCTACCTGCACAGAACAGCTTTCAGAGCAGAGCCGCAAGAGTGTTCAGTGAGTGACTCTCTCCTTGAGAGGACTATGGTCCCTCATCCTTTAAAATGTTTCATTAATGTCTTACTACGTGATTGCCTACAAGCTAGAATGCACATTTTTAATTAGGCACCAAGATAGTGGTGAAGTACAGAGTATTAAGTGCAAAACTCAATTCAACCTTCCTTTAGGGCTGCAGCCAGCACCTCCATAATTTAATAGGAGATCAGAAAAAAATATTAGTACTTTACCTATTAGTTGGAAAGTTTCATCGTGGCAAAGTCGTCTATGAGCATATTTCATTTCTTGCAAGATGTAAAGTTAGTCCTGAGCCCTGCCAAACGGGGGTTACCTCAAAGCAGCAATACCTACTTCAGGACACATCTTCAACAGCTTGACTAATTTATGGAAATCATTGCAAGGAAGAAGAGGCGCTGAGGATTCACAGTTAATTGCAATACTCACTTGGCATGAAGTGTTCTGATCTTGCTTAATGGGTTACTTTTAAAATGATTTTAGTAGAGTTGTTTACATGACTTTAGAAATTCACAAGGTTTCTGGCTCCTTATGACTGAAATACAAGAATATGTGCATACTTTGTACATACCACTACATAAAGGTTATTGCTATGAATTTGGCCCCTTCTGGACTGAACAGTTACATCAATAAATTTGTAACCTTTGTATCAGCTAAGTTCCATTGGTACTTTTATGTTAAGACACACATTACGAACAGAAGATATGGCTTTGCCCCACTCACCAGAGCAGATGATGAATGAAGAGACTGTGGCCCCAAACCAGCAAACCCTTACCCACACACTTAACTTTACTCACCTGTGTCATCTCAGAGGGACTGTTCAGGTGAGCAAAGAAGCACGCGTGAAAGTGTTTACAGTATCAAGACTTATGTTGGAAACTTGAGGTTACTCCAGTACAAAAAAGTCCATTATTCCCACAATATAGTAAATAGTTTCGTTGCTTTTATGTGACTTGTGCAGTCCTCATAAAAGGTTGTTTTTCTTCCCCAACATTAATCTTCATTACTATGGAGGCCATTTTACAAGTGTTTGAACAAGTGAGTCTGTCGACTCTGTAAAAAGCATTTCTGAATGATTTCTGTTTGAAGAGCACTTTTTTAATGGTTTTCTTTAATGGTGCTGGAAGAAACATAGGATGGGCATCTTTTGGAGTTTTAATAGCCTTCTAACTGCACACTTGTAAGGGAGAGAGCGTCTGGATCTCTAGTCCTGGGACATCACAGGCCCTCCCCATGGATCAAAGGGGGTTACAAGGGCATGGGGGGGCCTCACTGCTTTTTTTGCACAGGAATGGGCAATGCCCTGGAGAGATGTGGAGGAAGCTCTGAGGATTTTCCATGGAAGAGGGGGATCCTGCTTATTGTATTTCATTAATACTGCAGTCCCTAGTGACAATAAAAATGACAGATTAATCTAATATGCATATGTACAAAGGTCACTCTCTGTAAAGTATGCAACACAGGCAAAGTGTGATCTAAGAATGCATATTTCTGAGGAGTCAGATTATACACAAGCAGTTTGAGATTTGCTTTCATGTTTAGTGACCTGGCATCATAATCCTTTATATGGCTCAAGAGCTCATAGCTACCCTTGCTATAGGCTATTGCTCTAATATAGACAGATAAAATATGTTACTCTGATCCTGGGCCAAATCCTGCAGCTCCCTGAAGCCCACAAAGTTTAGCCTTACCCTAACCCTAAATTAGATTTGCAGTAGGATTGCAAGTTTTGGCTCAGTGACTCCAAATGGTGCACAATAGTGTAGAAATTACTGTGGCAATCACTTAACTATTTGATGTAGCTACTGCTTGTGAAGCACTGACCTATGCCCAATTACCGACAGAGTATATTCTAACCTCCTAATACCCAAAAGGGAGCAGGAAAATCTTCATGCACCAATCAGTCCACTTCCAGATTAGCACTCCCGAATGCCTGGTGCCAAGGTAACATACAAATTAAACAGTAATAATGTAAACTCTGAAACATTTAAACTGTTATAAAAGACCATGAATTTCTGTACCCCTTATTTTTTCCCTATCCTATTCTAATTATTTTCCTTAAGTAGTTTAAAAGTGATTTTCCTTCCCCTTGTTCCCGGTGGAACATGCAACAAAGCTCTAATCACACACCTTGCAGAGAATTCTTTCAATGGGAGTAGAATGGAAAGACAATTTAGCATCACTAGCACTAGAAAGGGAGGGATACTCCTAAAACATGATTTTAATCTATTACATTTATTAGCTACTGACCAGGAAAATAATTAAAGACGAGCTTTCATGCCACACAGAGCTCTGTATGTTTGACTCTGTCTCTTCCACCAACAGACATGTCCAATAAAAGATATTACTTCTTTCATATCCCAGGACCAACATAGCTACAACACCACAGCAGAAAAGAAAATTATCTATTCAGGAAGCCCATGCGTGGAGTCTGCATCCCCTGCCGGTAAAATTCAGCAGGGGCTGGCCCTGTGTCTACACGTGAAAGGGATATTTGGAAGTGGGGAAGCCATTCCCTGCCTAAAACAAAAGCGATGCTTAGCAAGTCATGGTGGCTACTTCAGCACCAAGATAGCAGCAAGAGAATTACACCTCTCACATCACCCCTGTCGCTGCCATTCCTGAGCCCCCGTGAGGCAGGGAAGCACAAGTGTCCCCATTTTGCAGATGAGGCTCTGGGGCACAGGGAGGTGAAGTGCCTCACCCAAGGTCACACAAATTCATTACACTGTAACAAGTCCCAGATGTTGCTCACTTTTTCTGTTCTTCAGAATGTGAGAGACCCTCAGTGCTGACGAGCTGTTGTGGGATTGTTCACTCCACACCACTCTGAAGGGATTAAGGTGGCTTGGAAGGAGCTACTTAACCTGGTAAACTGCACCTGGGAGACCTGAGCTTGACTGATAAGCACTCACTGAATATGGAGTCCACCTAGGCAGGAGTAAGTGGGGGCTTGTATAAAGCCAGGAAATGAGAGCAGAAGGTGCTACAGTGTGGAGGTCTGCAGTCACTCTCTGGGAGCAGAGAGGTGGTGAGGAGGAAACCCAGGGGTGGAGCAGAAACCTTGGGATCCTGACCCTGAAGAAAGGGCTTACCCAGAGGATGAAGAAGAAAGCCCGTGGAAGATGGAGTAGGAAATGGCAGCAGGGGATGGGACTGTGCAGACCTTGGCTGCTGCTGATAGGGTTCCTAGTGGAACCTGGAGTAGCACCAGGGTTCTCCTACCAGCCACGGGGAAAGTGACATAGTCTGGAATGGGAGGACTGCCTGGAATGGCACCCAGACAGCTGGTCCAGTGAGACTTTGTTACCCCACAAGGAGACAACTATAGTGACCTGGCCAGGGCACCAAGCGACAAGGAGGAAGCACTGCTACAACAAGAGAGCAAGAGGGCCTGCAGCGCAAGCGAAGGAAAGGAAAGGGAAGTCAGACCAGGCAGAGCTACTCCACAGATGCAGCCACAAGGAGACACCCCAGCAGTGAGTGAACCTGGGTACTAGCCAGTTCCCTAAGAGTTTCAAAATATCCTAAGGCTAAATCCCCATGTAGATGGGTAGGACGGATGACCTTGTGGCTAAAACTCAAGAGTACTGGATTTCAAGTCCTGCCTCTGCCACAGACCCCTTGTGTGATCTTGCTTCTGTTCTTTCCTTTTCCCCAGTTGCCAGGAGGGCCTGAGTGGCACTGGTGGAAAGAGAGATGTAAATGCAGAGTAAGTGACAGCTGCATGCTCCATCCCTATGCAGCTGGGACATGAGGCAACGTGGGCTTACAGGAGGCTAATCAGCTCCAGGTTCAGATGGGTGCCGAGATCCATGTTACCGAGAAGGAAGTAGGTGCTGCTCTTCAGAGGTAATTAGGTGCTTCAATGCCATTGATTTCAATGAGAGTTAGGGACCTAAAGACCTTTGAGGATCTGGGCCTAGGTTCATTGAGTTGGGAGAAGACAAGGGAAAGTCTGGGACCCTTTGGACCCCCGATTGACTGTTTTGAGCCAAGTGTGGTGAGGTCTAAAACCATGATCAGGCACCAAACCAACTGTAATGAAAAGAATATGGCAACTTGATTGTGATCCATTTCACAAATAGTGCACATACAATATACATCGCAGTATATAGCATTGCTAAAAAGACACCACTGTTGCAGCTACCTGAACTGGGATAACCAAGTCAGATTTAAGTTGTGGCTTTCCCATCATTGGATGTGTTTAAGAACAGGTTGGACAAACCTCTATCAGGGATAGTCTAGCTTGGTCCTGCCTCAGGTAAGGGGCTGGACTTGATGACTCCTCAAGGTCCCTTCCAGCCCATATGATTCTAAGTGGAATGAAAAATTGAAGATATACATTCACTGACTATTCTCCAAAATGGCAAAATGTATTATAAAATCTCTCCCCATGAGTGTCTGGGAGCAGAGGGGGGGGAAGTATTGCTTCAAGCATTAAAAATATCACCTACCTCAACAGTCATAAACATTTTACTAGCTGTTTATTTTTAATGCAGCTAGTGGAAACCTAAAAAGGCTGCTATACATTTTCCCTAAAAATAGTGTGAAAACACTTAGTTTTGGCAAATTCAGTCAGGCACTTGTTCAGAAGGTTCTTAAAATATGATGCTTCACAGTGTGTATTCCATGGTTTCCAAGGAAAGAGAAGGCAGCTGTATACCATGGTCTAGGATAGATTATAGAGTATGTTGTGAGAGGAATCATCATTTTGTTCTCTTAGGAGTGAGCAGAATTTGATGATAGTCCATGAAAGAGCTGGATGGTTGGTTGTTTCTCTGAATTTCTTTTGGAAAGAGACTCAAGACCTTCCTATGAAGATGCAGACTGCTCGGTTTTGTATTTCTGGTAGGCATCTAGTATTTCTGCGATGACGTTTGGATCATCCAACGTGGTGGTATCTCCCAAATCACTGGATTGGTCAGCGACTATTTTCTTCAGTACCCTTCTCATAATTTTCCCAGATCGCGTTTTAGGAAGGCGTTTCACAACCTGAAGAGAAGAACAAATACACTTGCCTTAGAACTTTCATCCTGATGAGAATGTTTGAGTGAACCCAGCCTTGAAATGATCCCATTGCATATCCCCAGTGAGATTCCTGGGAACTGCTTAAGAGCTAGGCATGGTGGTCACTGTCCAGGAAGAAGGAATATAGTGATGTTTATTTTTTTATTAAATTTTATCTGATTTTTCTCCTTTCTTTTTCCAATTTTGGCCCAGTGGGAGATGCTGGGTGCTCAGCACTTTTGAAAATCAGGCTACTTATTCAGGTGCTAAACTACGGAGTTAGTAGCCTAACTATAGGCACCTGTGTCTAGAAATCTTGCACTCAGCACTCTCATAAATCTCAGCGTGGCTTACAAAAGCAGGTAGGTATTATCATCCCTATTTTATAGATGAGGAATCTAATGCCCGGAAGCCACCTTCTCAGGACCACACAATACTGTAAGTCAGTGGCAGAGCCAGAAATACATCTCAGGTCTCCTGATTCGCAGTCCCATGTCCTATCCACTGTAGTCTGCTACCTCCCGTGTACAGGCAAGGGTTAACCTTAACTGATAAGGTCATAGGGATGGACCTGAAGGGTTACTATTTGTCCATACTGGCAACTGAACGACTAAACTTTTGTCTTTCAGTGGTGTTAAAAAAAACAACTCTGAAAAACAAACGTCGTGCCAGCGACAAGCACCAGTGTGAACAGTGCTTTGTCGGCAGCACAGAAACGCCGCTCGTTGGGGGTGGAAGTTTTTTGTCGCCAGGAAAGCCAACGAACAGTGGCTACACTGCACGACTTTTAGCAGCACAGCCATGTCGCAAAAAGCTGTGTAGTGTAGACATAGCCTTTGTCTGGCTTCTGTAGGATAGCTCCTTTGCACAGACAGGCCACACAACCTGCCATACGACTGCTCTGTTTTTGGATATATATGCTGAAAACAGGTCAAGGGGTCAGAAAACTGAAGAGCATTAACTGCTAATCTGTAGGGAAAGGGAGCAGTATGATCAGCCATGAACTTTACTCTGGGACTGTCTGGGAATCCTGGGAACACCTGATGGCTCTGGGAATAAGTCTTTAAATGCCTGGGTGAGATGAGCATCAGTTGTGGTGCAAAGTATGCGTTACTTCATCTTTGGCTGTACTACAACCATAGCTTTGCTCTTGTATGTTCCAACCTTTCCCTTAAATTTTGATTTTTTTTTAACCACAGGGATATTCCATATACCTCTGTATTCCCATCAGTGCACCCCTCATTCGGATTAACTGTACTGTGGGTCTAGCAGACACAGAGGCATATGAATGCAGCAGGGATGCTGTATTAAGATGGAGGCAGAAAATAGCATACATTTTAAGCAACTTGGCTGTTTGTACATGCTTTGAACAGGAGGAGCTGGATCCAAGCCACATTGAACAAAGCTCTGACACAGGGGGGGAAGCAGAAGTAGAAAAACTGGTTTGAAGCCCTCTTTGTGCACTCCAAATTCCTAGGGTTGGTTCAGTCCTTGGCATAAGTAGAACAGCCTCAGGGCTACTCTAAATTGTACACAGCTGCAGTGGCCCCCCAGGAGGCTGCTTTGCAACCAAGGATTCCCAGGTGCACTAGCACTCCGGCCATCCCCCTTTTCCTGCAGCCATGCCTCTGATGTACTCCAGACACCAGAGCCTGGAGCGGCGGCTTAGGGCTGCTATGCCAGTTCTGCACCACAGAGGGATTCCTCATCCATCTGGTTAACCTGGCTTTAAGGCTGCTCTGCCAGGGAGGAACAAAGCACCGTTACTGGGGGCAGAATCAGGCCTGTTAAGTGGGTTACAGATCTGATGTCTTGCAATGGTAGCCCCCAGACACTTACCAGAACATGATCAGGCACAGCATACTTTGCGATCTTGGAAGCAACAATAGATCTGAGTTCTTCTTTAACACGTTCTATATGAGCTGTGTCTTCTTTTAACACTATGAAAGCAAAGGCACCTGGAAGGGAAGTAAACAGAGGGCGTGTACTGTACATTAAATCGTTGTTGGAAAGGCATTCATTTCAGCAGGACTGCATGCATAAGTGCTGTTTCAAATGCCTGTAGCAACTGTCAGGTTTAGGGTCTGCTTTGGTCACTCTGAGTAGTACCTCACACAGCAGGTGCTTCCAAGAAAACCAGCAGCTTACTTACACAGTAGAGGTGACTAAGAATGGCAGAATCAGGTCCTTAATGATTAATGTGCTTTGTTTTGGAGTCCCTGGGTCAGATTCTGATCTCAGTTACAATGATGGTAAATCTGAAGTAACTCCACTGAAGTCACCAAGCATAAATGAGATTAGAATCTGACCCATGGAGGTCAGGGTTCTGGATTCTGTTTCAAATTATTTTCTTGAGAACAAACCTTTATTTTCATTTACTAAAATGGAGTCAAACACTACAGTAAAACACTATCGCCTTATAATGATAAGGGTTTAAGGGCGTGTCTACACAGGGACATCCAGGAAAATTAATCCAAATTAACTAAAGATGTGCATTTGATCTGGATTAGTTAAACCAAATTAAACCCCTGTGTGAACACCCTCATTTGGAATAAAAGTGGCCTGAATTTGGGTTAGCTTAATTCAATTCCAAAGTGAATTAAGCAAAACCAAATTAAAGTCACTTTAATTTTGAATAACAGCATCCACACAACAATTTAATGTAATTTAATTAACCCACTTCAAATTCACACCTCTAGTTGATTCAGATTAATTTTCCTAAATGTTCCTGTGTAGACAAGCTCTTAGATAATTTCTCCCTCCCTGCAAACGAGGAAATTAATGCACAGTGAAGTTTCTTCACTTAATCCTTAACTCATCTTGTTGTGTCTCGGTATATGGAACATAAGACCAATGAGGGGAACCTGGTATCTAAGATCCCTGCACCCCGTAAGCATGAGTTATGGAAGCATTGCTATTTTACTGGCCCAGATTTGCTTTCACTTACAGGGGTGCAGCTCCCATTAACTTTAAGGAAGAACATGACTTAGGTCTGGTCCATGCTACAGACCTATATCGGTATAAGTACGTTTTCAGGGGGGTGAAAAATCCATACACCTGAGCGACAGTTATCCTGACCTAATCCCGGGTGTAGACAGCGCTATGTCAACAGGAGAGCTCTCTCCCATCAGCGTAGTGTGTCTTCATTAAGGCGCTACATTAGTACAGCTGCGCTGATGCAGCATTTTAAGTGTTGACTTGCCCTTAGAACAAAAAGGGACCCAATGATGTTATGCCAATATTTTAACAAGGGGCTCCCACAAATATTTTCCGTTTCAGTCTGCGATAAGCTTCCTGGTGCAGAGATGCAGGATTTTGCAGAGATTACAGATGAGGAAAGGACGTGGTTTCCAATTCTTTTTTAAATTAAAAAAAAGGCTTTCTCTGAGTTAAATAAGCAATGGTGACTGAATTCCAGCAGGAATAAGACTGATCTGGTCCTTAGCTTCAATAATGGAGGTAGGGAAAACTGTGAAGAGAGAGATTTGAAGATGGCAAGATTCAGGGTCTGGTGCTTGTCAGTTGTAGAGCCCTCCACTAAGAATGCCTATCCCTTGGCTTCTGCAGGCTTCCCTCTGGAGACTTCAAACTTTAATGTCTCTGTTGACATGAGCTGTCACAGTGAGGTGCAGAGAGAAAGCTGGCCTTTGATTAGCTAGGTTCTTGCCCATTAAGGGCTTTAAGTATCAAGAGTGGATCCTTGAAATGGATCCAGAAGTGGATAGGGAGTGAGAGCAGAGAACAAAGTATCAGTGGCTAATTCAACACATCACAATCTCCGTTTCAAACTGCCTGCTACTCTGTGTACTAGCTTGGCAGAAAGTTGAGGGAAAGGTTATAAAGGAAATTAACCATCTGTATATTTCCATTAAGGACACTATTTTACACACTTACCTTCTCCTTTGATCTCATGGGGGTAACCAATCACAGCTGTTTCAGGCACAGCCGGATGTTCATCCTTTAAAAAAAAAAGTAGCAAAATATAACAGCCCCCTCTTTCAGGCCATGTTGGGTATGATTACACTGTAATTAGATATCTGCCGACTCAGGCTCGAGGGGCTGAGGCTAAGGGGTTGTTTAATTCTGGTGTGGATATTCATGCTCGGGTCCCCCCACATCACAGGGCCCAAGCCCAAAAGTCTACACCATAATTAAACAACCCCTTAGCCCGAGCCAGCTGGCACATGCCAGCTGTAGGTTTTTAATTCCAGTGTAGACGTACCCGTAGGGTACAAGAGCCTATGCTAGCTCTTCTAGGAATTGTAACAAGTTGCTAACTGTATGTGAAGTTCTTAATACCTTTCCTACTTTTCTGAGCCTTCTGTAAGCGCACAGTACCAAAAGGCCCATCTAGCCCAGTATCCTGTCTTCTGACAGTGGCCAATGCCAGGTGCCCCAGAGGGAATGAACAGAACATGTAATCACCAAGTGATCCATCCCGTTGCCCATTCCCAGCTTCTGGGAAACAGAGACTAGGGACACTGTTCCTGTCCATCCTGGCTAATAGCCATTGATGGTCCTGTCCTCCATGAATTTATCTAGTTCTAGTTATCCTGTTCTAGTTATCCTGTTATAGTTTTGAACCCTGTTATAGTCTTGGCCTTCACAACATCCTCTGGCAAGGAGGATTATAGACTATTATAGACATGCATCGGACGAAGTGGGTATTTACCCATGAAAGCTTATGCTCCAATAAGTCTGTTAGTCTATAAGGTGCCACAGGACTCTTTGCCGCTTTTACAGATCCTGACTAACACGGCCACCCCTCTGATTCTATTACAGACTTGCCACATTAATGGTGTGTTTAATGAAATTAACAGGAATCATGTGTGCCTGTCTCAGAGCAGCATTTAACTCATTGGTTCGGATTCAAAAGGGCCCTGTTTTAAAACAACGGAATAGTATTTTCTGACATCCCTTTTGGCTAATAAGAATAAATCCAGAAAAAAATGGATTTTGTCTATATGTGGGATTAGCCCCTGTGCAGCCAACCATTGCCAGTGACCGGAGCAGCCACACTACTGCAAAGCCCAAGTACGGAAAAAGCTGTGGTTTGCACTAACTAGGCCTCTCCTTGCTTGAAATGAGCTTTTCTTGCCTACACATGGGTTTGCACTGACGCAGCCCCACTGACTGCTGATCCACAAGTACAGTCAAGGCCTTGAGCTTCATTCTCCACTGCTTTGCACTTTGGGTGGTAGTCTACACCAAACCAAGTGCTAAGCATCTTTCTTATATCCACTTGTCACTGGTGTAAATCTGTGCAGAAGGTACAGGACAAGGCAGTGGAGAAGTGGGCCTCAATCTTCCAACAGATGGAAGAGGCACTGCCATGCTGAATACAGATCTTTATTATATGGCTTCATAATACTGACTTAGTCTGCCCATGATTCATAGTTAACATTGACAATATTTCTACACTGATAGAGCATATATTCATCCTAAATCAAAAATGGGTTATGCTATTTTAAATTTGATTAAAATATGGAAGAAATCTTTGTCTTAGCTGGGCTTCTCTGAAAAGGAACCTGCATGAAAATATGTAGTGGTAATCATATTAGGTCTTCAAAAAGCTATCATCAGAAGTTTGCACTAAGAGATTTATTTGTAGATACGATATTACAATCATTCCTGCAATGTAAAGATGATTTTGGTTTATCAGATTTCACATCTGATTAATGTTTGCAAGTGAGGGACATAACATGCAAATAAATGCTCAGATCAAGCTGTGTATAGAACTGCTTTGAGAGATTGTCTGTTCAGTTCTGTGGCTACCATGGCCTCTCGTTTAAATGATGGGCCAGATCATCAGCTGGTGTAAATTGCCATTGCTCCGTATTTAATGTTGGAGAAGGTTACAAAACATGTTCAAATAGTATAGCTAGGCCTGAGACACAAAGGTGAGAACAAAATGTTAACTCCATCAAAGCTACTGGTGGGGGGAAGCTAGAGGAGAGTTTTGAAGCCCGCATCATCCAAAAGTAAAACAGCAATGGTATGAAGTCACTGATGTATCCTGAAGAGATGAAACATGATTCAGATCTTATCAGTTCAAACAAAGGAATTGCATGTAGCCCTTCACTTTGATATCCTCCATAAAAACTATCTTACCCCTGAATGAACTTCATCCATCCGCCCTTCCATGGTTTACATAACAAGATTGTTTTCTTCAGCATAACTGCCATGTGTATTTAGTATCAAGGGTGTGTGTAGGTGAAACATATACGAGAAAGATCAGGGGTAGCAATGTTAACCCTTACACATAAACCAATGGGCTAGATCCTCCCGAGATGTACATTGGCATAGCTCCTTTAAAGTATATGGAACACTTCTGATTTTTACCAAATGAGAATCTGGCCCCATGCATGAAAAGCTTTCCTTGGGTATTGAAAAATTACCATAGCATCTTCAATCTCTGCAGTTCCAAGCCTGTGACCGCTGATATTTATGACATCATCCATCCGCCCTGTTATTTGGTAATACCCCTCTGAGGATCTATAGGCACTATCCCCTGTGAAATAATAACCTGTAGCAACAAAGAACACCATTACCCGTGATCAACAGCAGCTAGTATAATTCACTATCAGTATTTGTGATTATTATTTTTATTATTACTTTATACTTTTATCCCCTTTCAATCACAGATCTTTACAGGCACCAGTTAACTGCGGAGGGCAAGGTTTTGTTACACCCACTTTACAGATGGTAATAGCCACCCACTTCTAATTAGGAATTTGTACCCTGGATGAGGCACTGGACTGGAATGCAGGAGATCTGGGCTCTATACCCAGCCCTGCCACAGCCTCCCTGCATAACCTGAGGCAAATAATTTATTCTCTCTGTGCCTCAGTTTCCTGATGTGAAATGAGGATAACAATCCTTCCTTTCTCCTAGTCAGTGTTCCGTCTGGTCTGCTTAGGCTGTGGGCCTCAGCACCATGGAAATACAAACAATAATGGTAAGCATTCTGACAAAATCCAATGACTCCTGCTGTCTCTCCGAAGGAGAAGTTAACAGCCCCCTCACCAGCACCCTCCTCCCAGGGCCCCATAAGGCATTGACACCCTTAGCACTCTGCACCAGTCACTACTGTGGGGCTTCCCTTCACACACACTCCTACAGGGGATCACGGTTTAAGAGCCGGATGAATTAACTCCCTGCAAGACAGTGCAAGATGACCACAGAACAAAGATATTTTTGGTGGCACGATAATAAGAGGATATTTTTGGTCAGTCTTATTTTCGCAACAGAGAAAAACAACTTTCTAAGCAAAACAAGTTGGTTTGTAACAAATTCATCACTCCCAAAGACTTCACTATTATAATTGTGCTACAACCTATGATCTCTGGAACTTCATTGCACCGGCTGGAAAAAGAGCAGATCCTTTGGTCTAAGAGTACATCTACACTGCAGAGAAAAACCCGCGGCTGGCCCAAGCCAGCCGACTCAGGTGCATGGGGCTCAGGCTCTGGGGCTGATTCATTGCTGGGTAGATGTCTGGGCTAGGCCTGGAGCCCAGGCTCTAGGACTCTGTGGGGCGGGAGGGTCCCAGAGCTTGGGCTGCAGCCAGATCCCAGACAGCCACACAGCAATGAAACAGCCCCGCAGCCCGAGCTCCACAAGTGCCAGCCACAGGGCTTTCTTTGCTGTGTAGACATACCCTTAAAGCACAACTGCATTTAAGCAGTTTTGATTCCATCCAGTAGAGGATACACAGTAAAGATACACAGTAGCCAATTACTAGAACAATATCTCAGAAAAACCGTACAATATAGCACTGCTAAAAACCCGCTGGGTACTGACATTGTAGTCCAACATTCTTCCCTGACACCATCCTTACCTGGATACTTTTTGAAATAAGTATCTATAAATCTCTGATCATCTCCATAGATGGTTCTCGCCAGGCCAGGCCAGGGCTGTGCAATGCACAGAGCACCAGAGACATCATTTCCTTCTATAACTCTTCCCTGTTGATCCAAGCACAGGAAGGATCATCAGCCCAGATGTTGGGAAACATCTCAGATTAAAGGAAAGTAGCTGGTTAGTACTATCTAGCTATGTTGAGCCAGATTCTGATCTTACCCGAGTTTTACGTTGACTTCAAAGGTGTCACTCCTGTTTTACACCAGGGCAAGTGAGAGCCCTTCATATTCTGCAGATTCACAGACTCAGTGTCTATTATTGCAATGGTTTATTCTTAATGTTTCTCACTCACATTTTGGCAGCAGTTGAACATGGGGGGGGGGAGGGGGAAATGTACCCACTAGAGGAATTACTGTGCATTGTCTATGTCATGCTTTCATCATTCATGTACACAAACAACAGAGCAAGTGATTCTATGAATAATACGCTATTCACACAAAAGGAAAGATAGGTGACCCCTTGGAGTGCAAAGAACAATACAAGATTCACAGAACCCCACTCTTCAGCATTATGAATCCAGGATATGGACCAAACTGGTGCCAGAGCAGAGCCCAGCTCAATGGCAGAAGGGCCGGCACCTTCTTCAGCCAGGAGCTGCCGTGGCTGACTCCTTTGCAGCAGCACCACATCACCACTCTCCATCCTCTCACCAACTCAGCCCTGGGCCACAGCCTCCGGTGGGAGAGCAGTGTTCTTCCTAAGCCACCTCAGCTAGGCTGAGGGGACTGCTAATAGCTCCAGAACAGCTGTTGGCTAGAGAGGCCAAGGTCCCTCGGAGCATCAGTAACTCCCATGACCCAAACCACAGTAGTGCACTTCATTCCCTTCCTCTCCCTCACTCAGGAAGTTACTGCAGCTGTCACATCACCCCTGTTATCTGCCTGTCTCAAACAGATGTTGTGAAGATGAGTTAAGTATTGATGAGTTGTGAAGATGAGTTAAGTGGACGAGAAGCTGGATATGAGTCAGCAGTGTGCCCTTGTTGCCAAGAAGGCCAATGGCATTTTGGGATGTATAAGTAGGGGCATAGCGAGCAGATCGAGGGACGTGATCGTCCCCCTCTATTCGACATTGGTGAGGCCTCATCTGGAGTACTGTGTCCAGTTTTGGGCCCCACACTACAAGACGGATGTGGATAAATTGGAAAGAGTCCAGTGAAGGGCAACAAAAATGATTAGGGGTCTGGAACACATGACTTATGAGGAGAGGCTGAGGGAGCTGGGATTGTTTAGTCTGCGGAAGAGAAGAATGAGGGGGGATTTGATAGCTGCTTTCAACTACCTGAGAGGTGGTTCCAGAGAGGATGGTTCTAGACTATTCTCAGTGGTGGAAGAGGACAGGACAAGGAGTAATGGTCTCAAGTTGCAGTGGGGGAGGTTTAGGTTGGATATTAGGAAAAACTTTTTCACTAGGAGGGTGGTGAAACACTGGAATGCGTTGCCTAGGGAGGTGGTGGAATCTCCTTCCTTAGAAGTTTTTAAGGTCAGGCTTGACAAAGCCCTGGCTGGGATGATTTAATTGGGGATGGGTCCTGCTTTTGAGCAGGGGGTTGGACTAGATGACCTCCTGAGATCCCTTCCAACCCTGATATTCTATGATTCTATGATTATTCTTCCTGTTTTACAGCTGAGGAAACTGAGGCAGAGAGGCTAAGGGTCAGGTTGACAAAGGTATTTACATGCCCAAGATACATATAGGTGCCTAGCAGGATTTGTGAAAGCATCCGAGCAGGTTTAGTACCTAAGTCTTGTTGATTTTAGTGGGTGTTAGGTGCTTTGGAAAATCCCACTAGGCACCAAAATACCTTTGAAAACCCGGTCCTAAGTGACTTGCCTAAGGCTATACAGCAAGGCCCTAAGTTTTCAGTCAGGCCTGTGTGGGTAGGCCCCTCAGCCCATGCCAAAATCCACTGTGGCCTATGGGGCACTGCCCACACAGATCAGGCCCCAAATCAACAATACAGACTGGCCTGGAGCTCAGACATTTTGGGACTTCACCCTGTGCCCAAGGTATTAGACAACACTGCCTCACCACTGGGCAATGAAGATCTTCTCACTGTGGGAAAAGGGGCTGCTAAAAATGGAAACATTTTGTCTAAGGTCATGTCCCCAACTTTCAGAATCTATATTTCTCAGCAGTATCAACGGATGCCCACAGACACGCCGAGCCTGACTTCAACGGAGACTGCGGAGATCACAAGCGGGTTTCATTGGCTACAATGCACATTCAGCAAACATTTTTAAGGAGAACAATTCCCTACAAAGCTATAAGTTGGCTGTGTTCCCAGTGCACTTCACTCATGCCAGTCCCGTTGGCTCCAGTGAGACTATGCGTGAGAAAAGTTACACACATGTATGAGTGTCTGCAGCATTGGCACTTACATTATACAATCATCACTATCACATAGGAGCCAGTCCAAAAACATTACCTTGCTACTCACCATCGGCTTTCTAACTAGAACACTTAAATATGCATGAATATGGCTTGATTCCCTCCGGTATCATTGGAACAGATGAGGCACAAAACATTTTCCATCTCCTTTTCCTACATGCTTTTGGCATTAAATAGTGGAATTAGCCTGACAACCCCAGAAGCAGCATCTCCGGCAGCTCTTTCCCTGCCTTTGCACCATTGCCCCCAGTGGCAGAGCACAGTCCCAACTCACGTTCTCATCCATCAGTGCCGGGACAATCCCAAAGAACGGTCTCATTGCCATAGCAGGAATGATGTCAGCTCCTTCCTCCGAGGGCCGGGGAGCAATGCAGATGCCGCCTGTTTCTGGAAGAGCAAAGGGAAAGTAAATATGCCGGGCTGACACACTGGAATGGCAGGCGAGGCTGGATTAAAGCAAGTACCTACTTTGCTCGGCTACACAAGACCAGCAAATCACAGGCACCCTCCCAGCTAAGAACGCTTTGATTGTTGCAGTGAACATGATGGTCCCAGGAAACGAGCGAGACAAGGCAGGGGAAGGGATACCTTTTCTTGGACCAACTGCTGTCGGTGAGAGAGACGAGCTTTCGAGCTTACACGGAGCTGATCTGAAGCAGAGCTCAGGGTAGCTCGAAAGCTGGCCTCTCACCAACCGAAGTTGGTCCAATAAAAGAGTTTACCTCACCCACCTTGCCTCTAGAACTCTTTGAGGCAGAGATGAGACTTTACCGAACAGTACCCACAGTATACATATTTTAAGGGGAAAACACATTTCCTCTCCATCTGCTGGACAGATAGTGCAGAGTACAAAGTCGGGAAAGGTATGAGGTCAGAAATGATTTTGAGAATCCAAACAGCGGCTGCTACATCATCATATTCTCCTTCAAACCCACCGGTGCCATGATGCCTACAAAACACTTGGCAATGGTTAGCCACTGGTGAGCTGTGACTACTGCTTGTCGCACTCTTCATAACTCTATCATTGTTGCCTTGTGCTCACCCCATCTGCCACACCCACCTGTTGTGGCTCAACAAACTTCGATTGTAAGCTCTTTCGGACAGCAGCCACCTTTTGCTCTGTTTATACAGTGCCTAGCAGGGTGGGGTTCTGGTCTCCAGGTGGTACCATAACAACTACATTGGGAGAATTATTAATATGTGCATTCCTTTCCTCCTCTTCTCTCTGACTTTCTTTCTGCATATTCTTTTCTAAACACTTCACCACTAAGTTTGCTCTCCTCTGAACATCTGTATCTTTTGAACACCAGGATGTCCCAAACCATTAACTGAAGGTTGACTGACCTATCCGTGCAAAACATCTGGATGTCTTGGACCTCGTAAGCCACACAAAAACAGACGTCCGCATTTATAAAGAGACGACAGAGAGAAATAACGCAGCCCAGGTAAGCAGCTGGCCTCAGGTGCAGAGCAGCATCACCGTGCACTGCATCGGGGTAACTGATTCCAAGGGCCTGGGCCCGCTGACATCAATGGCAAAGCTCCCATTAACTTTAAAGCTGCAGGAGCAGAGGAGCAGTGGCCAAAGCAGCATGCAGGAAGGGGAGCAGTGGCCAAAGCAGCATGCAGGAAGGGGAGCAGTGGCCAAAGCAGCATGCAGGAAGGGAAGCAGTGGCCAAAGCAGCATGCAGGAAGGGAAGCAGTGGCCCACATACTTTGTAGTAGCAGCTGCGGTCTGCATGCACACCAGCATTACAAATGGGGGTAAGGATTGCATGCCTTAGTCTTGCACCTAGCAAGTACATTTCTAAGAAGGAGCAGCCCATTGATTCAGCCCATGCACTCTCTTCCTAGAGTGTGACCCTAAATTAACACACACACACTCCTAGAGTTATCCAGGAAATAAATTAATTCCGTGGAAATCAACGAGAGCTGGATGTAGTGAGCACTAATGTGGCATTTACACATTTTCAGATTCCTTTCTTACACATGATGCTACCTGGAAAATGCTCTTCAGCCCCATTTCCTACCCCACTAGGGATTGTTTTGTAGCAGTGGGGATATAAGCACAAAATATTCAGGGATTTATTTTCTTGTGCTGTTTGTACAGCACTTTGAGGAATTTGTATGCAAAGCGCTTTGTGAGACTAAATTACTATTATTATGCAGTATTAGAATAGCCCACCCATTAGGGGCATCCTGAGATTATTTTCCATTCTGAACTGAGCCTCTTAATCATTCTTTCCTCATTTCTGCTGGGATAAATGTTAAATCAGATCAGAGATTTCAACCTTAATCAGATCTTTTATATCCTGACACTAATTCAGATGCACAAAACAGAAGCAAAGAGGCTGGAATGTTAGGCTTTAAAAATCTATGAGCTGTGTCCTTGACTGGTGTAAATCCACATTGCTCCACTGGCTTCAGTGACTACACAGACAGAACTTATGATTTGCCTCTAGTCCCTCCTCTATAACTAGGTGGAGAAGAAGGTATCTCTAAGTGGAACCATAGAGCTGAGGTATCACTCCACTGAAAACAGGCCTCAGAGCTGGCTTATGCTTATGTATCAAATGGAAAATGATTTTGGAAGTCTCTTCCTTCAGGGACAGTGTACACATCAGAAACTTCTGTGCAATGTGACATGATTGTCTTAAGGCTTTGCCAGCACTTTCCTGTTTTGGAAAACATACACCATCCTCTACTCGCACAGACAGAATCCGGGAAGAACTGCACCTAATATTTCACAGTAATGAAAGTGACAGAGTACGAAGCTCATGCTGCATGTACAATATGTCTGTTTAGCTCCGTTGTAACGGATGTTCAATATAATTGAACATTAATTAAAATCACAGTACTGTAAAACAACATTTAAAATATAGGCCAGGCCATCTGCTACACAGCACAATGACTGACTATGTAACAGCCAGTAGAGCAGTGCAGATCCAAGGGAGAGATGCAAGGTGGTAGGGGGTGAATGGGGCAAAATCCCTGAAGAAAGGAAAAAGAGAAAACAAAGGCAAGACAATGCAAAGAATGGGAGGAAATTACAACTTTCCACCCTTATTCACAGTGGGCAGTACCTTAGGCAGAGCCTATGCTCCAACTTGCACTGATGTAACTAAAGGGATTTTTTTTCCCACTGATCTAGTTAAACCAGTGCACATTTCTGTGTGGACACTATTAAACTGGTTTAAAAATAGCTTACAGCAATTTAGCTTATTGTGGTAAACAGTCAACTTCAGCTAAGTTGACACAAGCCAGATTGAAATCAGTGTCAGCAAGTCCATGCAGGGGTTTTACAGCAGTTTAACTAAATTGGTCTTTAATTAAGAGACGGCAAAGAACTCCAGAAAGAGGGAGAATCCACTCCAAAGCGGCACGTTGCAAAGCCAGGAAAGCCAGGTACTGCGGTGTGTGGGTACTCTGAATGTGCACACCTTGTATTTGCTTGTCACATAGTCCAAGCTGACAATGACCTTGACAGAATCTCTCAGCAATGGTCACGCAAGTCTTTGAATGCCTCTGCAATGCATTAAGCACAAACAGGCTTTTGCTTAAATATCACCCAGGCGTGCTTGTGGTTTCACCTGTTTCCTTAACTATTTGCTGTTGACAGTCACCCAACCTTCTCTCCTCCCCCACCTATTTTGAGTGCTCCTACACTCCTCCGACAGAGTTTGTAGCACTCCAATGAAGCCAAAGCCACAGCTGTTCTATTCTGTACTGCCCAGTCAATTCACTACTGTGGAAACCAACACAGATTTTCTTGGTCTTAGAAACAAAGCGTGCTTCTTAGCTGACTCTGCAGGGGCACTAATGCTCTCTAAGGAGAAGAGCAGGATGCAGTCATGACTGGGGTACCCAATGTCAGCAAAACTCCTTGGTGAGCAATGCTGCCTAGGAGGAGGAGCTCCAACTTAGGATCTCCAGGATCTACTGGGTTTGGGTGCTCCTTGCCCCCTCCACTCAGAGGGGAACACCAGTTAGCAATTCCACCAGATGAACTCACAGAGTTTCCTAGACCATCTGTGCACTTCTTGTGGGCTTTATCACAGAAGGTATGATCTGGCTCTTAAGAAAGAGGCACACATGGAATTTCTATGTAGAAAGGCTCTTATTTAAAGCCTTATCGTCCTGCGCTCCTCATCTACTTTCTGCTTCTGTCTTTCCATTCAATAAATCTAGTACCTTGTGGAGCAACTCACAGTCCATTCTTGGGTCAAGCTTTATTTACAGATTAGTAGAAAAAAGTTAACTTTTCTTGGGTCACTACTTTTTGTTAACACATGATTCAATGTGAATATGTCTAGCTAGCTGGCAAACATTCATAATCTTACTCCAACTGAAGTTGATGAGAGTTTTGCTGGGGTTTTTTAATGGGAGCAGGAGCAAGTCCATTAGCAGAAGCCATATACCCTTTGTGTGACTGAGAAAGAAGAACCCAAGCATCGAAATGCCCTATTAAGGGACGTGTTTCTAAGAACAGCCCTTATTTATTCTATAATACAATTTAGTGCCTCGAGAATCATTTACAACAGTTTACCTTTGGTGTCGCTCTAATTCAAAAGCTAAACAGTCTAGTCTCTATTCTACATCATTTAAAACTAGACCTGAAAATCAGACCAGCTTTGAATCATATTATCACTCAGTCATATTAGCACAGACCCCACTGCCTAACATAGTAACACGAAGGCCACGCCTCCACTACCGCACATGTCAGTGAAACTTGGCACTCAGGGCTGTGAAAATAACACCCCCTCCAAGCGACATAAGTGGTGACGTGCACTCCGCTATGTTGGTGGGAGAGTTTCTCCTGCCGATGCAGCTAGCGCTGGGGCTGGTTTAGTTCCGTCGATGGGAAAGCTCTCTCCTGTCAGCATAGAGCAGCTACGTACAGCTGTGCCGCTAATATAGACATGGCCTAAGAGCCACCTTAATTTCTCTCTCTCTCTCTCTCACACACACACAAACAAATTCTCTCTCATAATCCCCCTCTCACCTTATCTACTCACCCAAATACTTTCAAATGGATTCTTAAAGTATGGTTTGCTAATCTTTATGCCCGTTCAGCTTTATTCTCTGGTGACATACCGCTGCTTCCAAAGACAATGGTCCATAAAGGACAAAGGCCAATTAATAAAGTAAATTACATTGATTGCGAAAGGTGAAATTGAGCTGACACTATGGTAATCAATTCACCTGCTGCATCGGCAGTGGATGGGAGGCTAGGGAAATGGGAGGGGTCTCCTTTGGCAGAGGAGAGGGAGAGGGCAGCGTGAGGATATGTGTACTATTTCTTTAAGTCTGTAGCAAAAAGTTAGGCAGGAGGGGAGCTGGGGAAGATTCAAGGCAGAAGCTGTAAAACTTTGTGAAGCACAAAAAGGGAGACAGAAAGCTGTTTCAGAACTAACACTGGCTTCCTTACTGCAACTAAGTTCCTTGTTCAGTGTGAGAAGAAAGAGATTCTTTCCCACCATCATATGACGGGGAAGAACAGGAACCTGTTGTTGGGGTATGAGCAGGGAAGGGTCTAGAGGAGGATTTACTTCAGTGAAGTCTTTCAATAAGAAGAGTAAAGATTACTGCATTTTTCTTTAGTGACCTCACGGTATGTCTATATTGCAATTAAATGCCCACAGCTGGCCCATGTCAGCTGACTCAGGCTCGCAAGACTTGGGCTTGCAGGGCTGCTTCATTGGGGTATAGATATTTCAGCTCGGGCTGGAGCCTGGGCTCTTGTACACCGCAAGAGGGAGGGTCCCAGAGCCTGGGCTCCATCCCAAATGCAAATGTCTACACCTCAGTTAAAAACCCCCTTAGCCTGAGCCCCACGAGCCCGAGTCAGCTGGCATGGGCCAGCCACGAGTATAGTTATACCCTCTGGGACTAGACATAGCCAATCCAGGCAACAGATTGACAGTATGGGCCTGATTGTCACTCACACAAACCCACCCTGACGCACTCTGGTCATGTAAAGACACCTAAGGAGCAGATTTTATTTACATCCAAGTTAAGGCCCCTTTCCATTACTAAAGCATTACAAACTGGCGTTCATGTAGCTGAGAGGCAAGCCGCACTTCATTAAGATGGGATGCACAAGAACCAGCCTAAGCAAATTGATGAATTACAGAAGTGCACTCCTGCTTTCTGTGAGATGACTCAGTGCAAAAGTCCCCTTAAGTCGCAACATGGCCACCCTTCCTTCACTGTCAAATAAAGCTACTTCGTTCACACGGGGAGGGCTGCAGACAGCTAACTGCAAAATAGCATAACAACTTCTCCCCATGTCCCTCCTGAAACAAAACAAAACAAAGCAATTTTAACTGTATTTTCCGGTGCTCTAGTAATGAAACAAATACCCTTGGCTACACAGTTCTATTTTCCATAGGGAAACAGGACAAACAAATACCTAGGCAGAATCTGTGATTCAATGTTACAGTTTGCCGTACATTACATAGGTTTTCATGATAAAGAAAAGTTCAGTTGTCAGAATAACTACTGTGTGGTTTCCACTTCAGACAGCAGCCTTTCACTTTCAACTGAACAATAAAAATTGTTTTCTGCTTCTAGAACTGGTCCAAACTTCCAAATGTTCAAAATTTCAGTGAAAATGTTTCATGAAAAAACATTGCTGGGTTTCAGCCAGTTTAAAGAGCGGATCAAAGTCTGCTGAAAACTCGAAATGTTTCAGGGAAAAAAATCTCCAAAAGGTGGCAAAGTTGTCACCACTTTCTCATCACTCCATGAGAATTCCCCGTGAACATGTTTTCCCTCCCCATCAGTGCTTTTTACCTGTTTGCCACCAGGTGTCAACAAGGGTGCACCGGCTGTCTCCCACTACATTGTAGAACCATTGCCAAGCTTCATGGTTAATTGGTTCTCCCACTAAATCCAAAACAGTAAAGAAAGAAGAGTGAATTCTGGTGAAAGGATTTGTATGCAGTGTGCTTTCCCTTCCCCACATATAGGCTTGGAAGAATTAGATTTTATTGGTAAATGTCGGTATACGTCAATATCACCATAAACAGCAAACCATCCAAAAATATTTCCATTGATAATAATTGAAATTACAGATAGGCAAAGTAAGCAAAATGCTACTTGAGAACTTATTATAGTTTGATTTAAGAATATTTGCTTTGCATATTTTGACATGTGATTTTGACAATTTGTGTTTAAACTTTCTAAATCTCAAAGTCTGTCATTGAATAATTATGGTCTTATTCCCTCCTTAATTTCCCTCGACTATGAAAAAGTAAATTGATAAAAATTAAAAAAAAAAAAAGCTTAAAACCCGTAATTTTGTGCAACTTTGAAAATTTAAATAGATAAAAAATTTTAAATGCTTAAAAATAATCAATATTATCCATTGAAATTATTTTAAAAAAAAGGAAAATCGAGTTCTGCTGAGCCTAAATCCATCGCATGCCTGCAACGCCAGGCATTTCTGATCATAAATAATTTGTCTACACCTAGTAACTACTGATAGCATTTTGCTGAGGCATGAGAAGAAGCTCATGGTGCCTGTGTTATATGAGTAGGGCCCTACCAAATTCACCGTCCATTTTGGTCAATTTCATGATGCTAGGATTTTAAAAATTACAAATTACATGGTTTCAGCTATTTAAATCTGAAATGTCACAGTGTTGTCACTGTAGGGGTCCTGACCCAAAAGAGGGTTGTTGGGGGGGGTTGCAAGATTGTTGTAGGGGGCTCTCAGTATTGCCACCCTTACTTGTGCTGCTGCTGGTGGCAATGCTCCCTTCACCGCTGGGCGGCCGGAGAGCGGCGGCTGCTGGCCAGGATCCCAGCTCTGAAGGCAGAGCCCCCGCCAGCAGCAACGCAGAAGTAAGGATAGGATGGGCTGGTATTGCCACCCTTCCTTCTGCGCTGCTGTTGACGGGGAGCTGCCTTCAGAGCTGGGCACCTGGCCAGCAGCTGCTGCTCTCCGGCCGCCCAGCTCTGAAGGCCGCGCAGATGTGAGGGCGGTAATGCCACAGCCCCCCCTACAATAACCTTGTGACTCCTCTGCAGCCCCTTTTGGGTTGAGACCCCCAGTTTGAGAAACGCTGGGGTCTCCCCCAGGAAATCTGTAGAGTATAGGGTAAAGGCACACAAAAGATCAGATTTCATAGTCCGTGACATATTGTTCATAGCTGTGAATTTGGTAGGGCCCTAAATATGAACCTCACAATTTAAGACATTCCTTTCCTAGGACTGGTGAAAAGCAAAAAGGAATCTAAGAGAAGGTAAGTACTAACTGAAGGTAATTTGGGGGGTATTTAGAAAATTGAAACAATGCTCATGCAGGGGCTGTCTAAGCATCTCAAGCCTTAGAACTATTAATGCTCTATGAAGTCACAAGCACAACGGAATTTTTGGCGTCTTTTTCTGGAGAACGTTATTCTCATAAAGGAATCTAGGAAATGGGGGATAATTCAAAGATATTTATTCAATTGCCCTGGCATTGGGCTCTTTATTTTTTCAACATAAATAGTAACTAAACAACTGTATGTGAAACCTGTATTTGAAAGAACATCTATTCCTCTCACCTGATCCCAGGGTTTTTAAGGAAGATCTGTCATACTTCTTCACCCACTTATCTCCATACTTCAGCAGCAGGCGTACAGCAGTAGGTGCACCGTAAAACTGATTAATTTTTAACCTCTGTACAGTTTCCCAATAACGACCTGCAAAATCCCAAATATTCTTCTTTAGTCTGTCTGGTTACGGAACAAAGCTACTGTTACAAACGCTGAACACTGAAGTAAACACTAAGACAAAACTCTACAGCAACTATCTGCTGTAGCTAGAGCAGGAGTGGGCAAACTTTTTGGCCCGAGGGCCACATCGGGATTGCAAAATGGTATGGAGGGCTGGGTACGGAAGGCTGTGCCTCCCCAAACAGCCTGGCCCCCACCCCCTATCCGCCCCCTCCCACTTCCAGCCCCCTGACTGCCCCCCTCAGAACCCCCGACCCATCCAGCTTCCCCTGCTCCTTGTCCCCTGACCACCCCCATCCAACGGCCCCTGCTCCCTGTCCCCTGACTCCCCCGACCCCTATCCACACCCCTGACAGGCCCTCCGGGGACCCCGACCCATCCAACCCCCCACACCCACACCTTGTCCCCTGACTGCCCCATCCCGGGACCCCTGTCCCTAACTGCCCCCCCAGGACTCCACCCCCTATCCAACGCCCCCAGTCCCTGTCTCCCCCGCCCCTCCCGGCACCCTCTGCCACCCTGGGACCCCATCACCTATCCAACCCCCCCGCTCCCTGTCTCCTGATCGCCCGCCCCCCCGAACCTCTGCCCCATCCAACCACTCCCTGTCTCCTGACTTTCCCCCGGGACCTCCTGCCCCTTATCCAACCCCCCCTCCCCTTACCATGCCGGCGGCAGGACTGGCTTATTGGAAAGCCTGGGAGGTAGCGGGCACAAGCCATGCTGCCCATGCAGCGGCGTTGCTGCAGGGGAGGGGAGGGGCTGGGGGCTAGCCTCCCCAGCCGGGAGTTCAGGGGCCAAGCAGGATGGTCCCGCGGGCTGGATGTGGCCCATGGGCCATAGTTTGCCCACCTCTGATCTATAATATAATACTGATGGCACCTTTATTACCCTGGGTACATACACATTCCTGGTTTGTATGGTCACATCCTCAAAAGAAATGGGACCGATGATAATAGGAAAGAGAATACATCTACTAAGGTAGCCAGGTCACCCTTGATAGGCTCCTAAACCATATACATGTTTAATTAAAATTGCGACCATCACGCCCTCACCTGGGTCAGGATACAGTGGAGTGCTTTCAAACAGGACAGAGGTGCCTCCATTACAGAGTGGTCCATATACAACATAGCTATGTCCTGTGATCCAGCCAGTATCAGCCACACAACCAAAAACATCACCTTGCTGGTAGTCAAACACATGCTGCAAAGATAAACAGTGACGCTGTTTTCATAATGCTGAAAGAACTAACATATGCTGTACCAGATCAATTATTTCAACTCAGCCAGCAAGAAATCATTTAAAGCATATACACAAAGTAAGCATGAACAGACAGACGAGCTATAAATGCACAGAGGCAAGGCTGGCCTAAGGATGGGAGGCTATACCACCGCTCATACAAGGAGTGGGCCAAATCCTGTGGTTCTTAGTCCTTAAATCAGACCCACTGGTTTCAGTGGGAGTCTGCTGAGTCAGAATGAAGGATGTCATCCCTCACTGTGTAGGCGGCCACCTGTGCCTGCACAGTGCCCCACCAATGCCAATGGACTCCTGAGCTCATGGCAGCTTGGTCCTCAGGATTTAGCCAACTTTACCGTTACAACGTGTTCTGTTTGTTTCCAGTTTAATACCCTGGGTATTAATGAAGGAAACAAGGTATCCATAGGAGACTTACTGTCGTTCAGCTTGCCCTAGGAACTCCTCACTCCATTCACTTTCAGTCACACACGTATAGCCTTTCACGTTATAGTTTAGATAACAAGCATCTGGGGCTGATTATACTTCCTCAGCTATCAGAAATGTTCTACCTAGGAAATCTACCTTCTTGCACCAGCTGATGCATGTTACCAGAGCTGGAAAGTTACAGCTAGATTTACCTTTTAAATCAAAAAAACTGAGAGTACAACAAAAATCTAACACTCTACTCTGAAATCAAAACCAAAGGATCATAGAAAGGAGTGACAGGAAAGATCTCATCAGTCAGCCAGTCAATATTCCTACCAGTGCTGGATTATTCCTACAGTACATTTTCTAGTGCTTGAAAGGCAGTACATTTAAGAGGAATGCATCTGTGTAGGAAGCAAGACCCTCTGAATGCCTAGAGCAAAGTTGGGAACCTTCTTCTTGGACTGAGAAGCAAACAGATTTGTATGCCCCACCTTGCTGCTGTTTGGAAAAAAAAGAAAAAAGAAAAAAGCTGACTGGTGTGACTCCACCCCACTGGAGAAAGGTTTAACAGCTCAGCCCATCGGCTTGAATGGATAATCCTCAAACGTTCTAAAATTCACCTTTGAGCTGAGATTAACCCAAAGACGAATATCTCAGAAAATTACAAGTGAGAGAGAGGCTGGGACTAGAATTGAAATCTCATCTAGAAACTTCAGTATAATCATATATGGATTTCAATTACACTTTTCAGGAGGGAATCTCAAAGCAGAAACTGTAAGAAGTTAAGCCTCACAACACCCCTTTGGGAGGGTCTCGTTAGCTCCATTTGGCTTAGGGGGAAATGAAGGTACAGGAAGGCTAATGGGCTTGCCCAGCACCACATCGCAAATCAGTGGCAGAGGCAGAAATACTGAGTGTTAATACAATTTGTTTGCTCTTCAACAGATGAGCATCACAAAAGGAGGGCCCTTGTTCGGAATCCAGCACAATCAGTGCAGTACTGGAGTGCAAAACTAAACCAGTAAATGATGAATTAATTCAAAATGCTCAGGTGGAGTCACTGCATCATTTGGATTCTTTACAACTCCCGGGATCTGATTTTCCTAGTAGTGTACTTCCTGAAAGCAAATCAATACTGTTTAATTATTCATATGCTCTTGTGTACTTTTCAACTCGATTGCACACAATTTGCCACATAATTTGCAAACACTAACAGAAGCAGCCTTATTAAACAAACAAATGTCCCACATCAATACTGATAAAGCACAAATGTTCCTTTTTTGCAAGGAACACTGCTGAGGTACCTTGTGTGTCACAGCAGCATAAAGCAGATACCCAGCTTGAGTGTGAACAATCCCTTTGGGTTTTCCTGTGCTCCCGGAGGTGTAAAGCATGAACAGCAGGTCTTCACTGTCCATGCTTTCAGGAGCACACACAGGAGCCTCCTTGGCCATCTCCTAAGACAAGAGAAGTAGCAAAGAAACACGTTAGCCTCACGCAACCAATCCTTTCATAACACTTCAGTGTTTCACCAGGCTCCTAGTTACGTATAGAAGAACTGTCATTTCTTCTGATGCCATCTTTTTCTGCAGAGAGACTGGCAAGAGCTGAGTATTTACTAAAAGAAAGGCAAAGTAGTAGATGAAGAATGACATAGCATGAAGACACAGCAGATGAAGAATGACCTGGCATGCATGCTCAAATGACAGGCACCACCTGTTCCCCTGACTCAGAAACAAACGAATGTGTGCAGCACACCCCACCTAAGCGTTCACGTGGAAGGTGTGCAGCACCCATTCTCTAGACCCACACTTCTGTGAGTCTCAGGCATTTCAGGGAATTGGATTAATAAAGCCATCTATAAAAACAGCAGGGACTCTCATAGGTTTCAAGACTTTGGGAGGATAAAAGTTGCAGGTAGAAAATAGAAGTGTGATGCCATAATGAGCCACACTTTGCAATAACAGAAAGGTCTTTAGGGGCCAAGTTCCATGGGGCGGGGGTCTTCTTTTTCTAATGTACACTTCTCAGTCTAATTTTAAGTCACATTTAGGATTTCCCAATGCCTGCCTCCATTTCCTGGCTAGAGAAGGAGCTGAGAGCCCCTGCTGATGATACATGGCATAGGCTTGACTTATTTTTTTAAAGAGAAAATCCGTGTTTTATTTTTCCCGCTCCAGACAGAGACCCAGCTAACTCCCTAGTAAGAATCCTTTGCTGCCTCCTGGGCAATGTCACCCACCAGGCGCAGCTATCAGCAGAACTCCCAGCAGAGGGCATTCAGGATGCTATGGGCTCAATTCTGACACATTCTAGGTGCTGACAAAAGGGAGTGAGGGGGAGTAAGAGCTCCTTATATCCCTACTCAAGTTACCCTGACCGTGGACCTGGCACGCAGGAGTATGTGGGGTTTCTGGCCCGCTTATTCCCTCCCTAGAACAAGTGACTGGAGAGAGGGTGAAGGCTTAGCTTCTACCCTCACCCCTCAAGTGGGGGAGAGTAGCTGGCCCAATGGTGGAGAGGTAGCAATTTGCTGCAGGTCAGCAGTAAATCAATACCCCAGCTCACCTCCATATTCCAATTATGCCTCAGCAGGGGCATCTTAGTCACAGTGCCTCCTAGAGCTACTCCTGGGATGATGTGGTTTACACATCACTCCTTGCTCAGGCCTGGGCCTAGATTCAAAATAGAGCCCCATGAGGCTGACTTCCTATTGCCTTCCACCCAGTGGCGTCATTTACACCTGTGCAAAGTGGGTACAAAAACACTGCCATTCTGCTTTAACAGTCTTATATCCACTGGGCCCAAGTGCAAGGCAGAGGGGAGTGGGCTCACTGTGCACATATCAGCAGTTTATGCTCCACCCCCATTTGAAGAGGAGGGATGATTTAATTTTCTTCTGTATAAATTGCTGGCATTCTTCATTAGTTACTTGTGGTCCACTATCAAACACCATCTTCCCAGGGAGTATATATAATGCAAATAAACTCCTTAGTGGTTTTTGTTAAGGCTGTTGTGGATGCTGAAGTTACTTCTTACTGCTGCTGACCTATACAAGGAAAATGTATCTTTCTCAGGAAAATTAATAGGAAGGCACTGCCATACTCAAGTCAGCCATTTGCCCAGATGCACAGGTGCTAAGATTAGCATCTTCATTACTATCACATGCAAACGCCACAGCCTTTTGCTCAATCTTAATCAAATCCTGAACACAGAGCTAGCGTCCCACTTCAGCCACCATGTGACATGTCTCAGAGTGCTCTCTGTGCAGATCCTGTCGCATTCTTGCTCCATAGCATGGAGAGATGATCAAAAACAGTCCCCTGAAGTGAACCACCTTGTTCAGGTGGGAGACTATCCTTTCTCACTAGTGTTCCAAAGCCTCCTCTGCCACAAAATTGGACTGGCCATTTATTGTACACCTACTCATTTGGGAGAGAACAGGGTCTTTCCAAACCTCTTCAGCAGTATCTGCCAAGGACACAAAGCAGTTAATCAGTGTATGAACCAGAGAAAATGTCCTTTTTTCCTGTGGAACTCTCCCGAAAATTCACATGCAAAATTCACATGTAAACCATTGGCATTACTAAGTCCTGCTGATTTCTAGCCTTCAGTATTGTAATAATAAATACATAAGATCAATGCCCAACGTTGCATGTTCAGTCATCCAATGTTGGTACAGCTAACTCAAGGGGTTAGGTACTGTAACTAAACAAAATTTTCAAATACAGTGATATTAGTGGAATTGTATCATAATAAAAGGTTCATTGTTATAAACAGAGATTCTTTTCTTATTTACGTCTCCCATTGTTCCCTCTGGAACAGTGGTTCTCAACCATGGTTACGCGCGTACCCCTGGGGATATACAGAGGTCTTCCGGGGGTACATCAGCTCATCTAAATATTTGCCTAGTTTTACAACAGGCTACATAAAAAGCACTAGCGAAGTCAGTACAAACTAACATTTCACACAATGATTTGCTTATATTGCTCTGTGTACTATACACTGAAATGTAACGACAATATTTATATTCCAGTTGATTTATTTTATAATTAAATGGTAAAAATGAGAAAGTCAGCAAATTTTCAGTGACACATTTGTATTTTTATTTCTGATTTTGTAAGCATGTAGTTTTTAGGTGACGTGGAACTTGGGGATACACAAGACAAATCACACTCCTGAAAGGGGTACAGTAGTCTGGAAAGGTTGAGTGCCTTTGCTCTAGAACAGTGTGGTTCCACACTGCCTGCAGCATAGGGTTGTGCCTAATTGGGATAGTAAAGACCAGGCAGGGCGGGGACAAATCCTTTTTAATCTCTGTAAAGTGCCATGCAAGTTAGAGCACTGTATAGGCCACAAATAAAGGGGGGTGAGAGGTGGGAATGGGGACACTTTGCCAGGGTATGGTCCCAGGGAGGGACCCAGCCAGAGGGCCACAAGCCCATCACCATGAGAAATAAATTCAGACTAAAAACTGTGGACATTTGAATTTGACTAAACGTTATTTATACAATCTCCATGAGTCTGTTTATCCCTATGCATCTATCTGTGTGGGATGGGACGGGGCCCAGGTTACAAATGTGCCCTGGGCCCACAGCCATGTTGCTTGGGGCCTGCTTTTATGTAAAAAATTATTTAAAATATAATACATTAATAATTAATAAAGACAACCCGTCTCTTCTTGCCATCTTCAGCCATGTGCAATATCACAACTCCTACTCTTTATGACTCTGGAGTGCTGTGTATCATAATACCCCAAGGCATTCCTTGTTCTTGCTTTTGTTTTCATTTTTTTGAAGTACCATCACACTCCTCTAACTATTTCCATGGCTTGTCACTCTGCAACAATTCACTTGAAGACCTTAACATGGCTGAAAGATCTCCCCAAAAGGGTTGTAGAAATGTAGTAGACTTGAAGGTGATCATTCTTCAGAAAACATTTTTGAGCCTGGCTGCCAGGACTGCAACTGCAACCCCTTCCTCAGGTGCATCAAGCCTGTGGCAATGAGTATATTCCAAATACTCCACATGTGGCTGGAAAAGCTGACAGACAGCCTGCTTCCTGCAGGCTCTGTACTGTTCTTGGGGAATAAGCGCGTCCCTCAAGATTCTTTAGGCATCTCTCTGCCGAGACCCATGTGACTAATTGCAAGTGCCCTTTAAACACTGTAAGGTGACCTGTATTTACAAGCAAATATGCCTGAGAGCCTGCATCTAGTTCACGTGCTCCACAGCAAGACGGACTTAAATTTTGCAGCACAACCAACTGGTACCTGTAGCACTCCAATGCAGCAGCATCAGTTCAGTTCAAATTTGGAGTATATTAGTGAATTAAATATGAAAATGAATAATTTCGTCTGTGTCAAGATCTTGGGCAAAGGTAGGTAGGACCTTGGGAGCTGGGAACCGAAGCCAAGGGTCAGAGCCAGAGTCAGGAGTCAAGCTGAGGGTCAATCCCAGGCATCACGGTCAGTGCTGAGGTTCCAGGGGTCGACTGGGAGTCAGAATCCACGTCATAGCCAACATCAATCCCAGGAGTTCAGAAGCAGCAGTCATAGCAACCTCTGTGGACTGTGGGTCAGAGGGAGCAGCCAGGCTACAATTGCCACCAAGTGACAGTGTGGGGATGTTGGTTGCCTGCAGGCTTGGGTTCAAGTCCTGCTGATCCGTACAGTATCCCTGTGTCATTTATTTTAATATAGAGTTCAATTTCTTTCACACTGTCCCTGTATTTTCAATGTGTCTCAGATATCTGTATTAAAAACACACAACTACACCGCAAAAAGGAGAAGCTGGAAGTTTTTGGCAACTACTAGAGAAAGGAATAGTTAGGGCTTTCGGTACCTTGGACTGCATGGAAGGCAGTTTGGGATTGTGGGATAAACATAGTAGCTGGATGTTTATCCTAAAATGATCAACAAGGAAAGACTTAACAACAATGATAATGATGTTGATATTAAGTTTCAGGATTAACTGATGCCTGGTCAGTTTACATCTCTCAGATCAATTGTTTCAGGTTATTTGCAGACTCAGGGAGACATCACTGCTCCAGTTTATACGTGGTTCATGGACTAAGATAGTTTCTGACCAACAAGGCAGGTTTATTCTGGTTAGTGTTTATTATTAGCTGTACCTCCTATAACTGGAGCATACTTGGCCCAGTACATGTATTTTCACTCCTGTGTCATTTGTTTAGCTGCAAAGTAGTGATTTCCAGTGGCAAAAGTGCCAAGTACTTTGTTTATTGCTTCTGACAAACTGACACAGCTACTCTGCCTCAAGCTGCATGTTCCCAGATGTACCATCTAAAACACATTTTAATGGTCACTCCTTTCTCCCCCAGGCCATGTAGACTGTAAATATTCCCAAACAATCATTCTCAGTAGAGATGGGACAATTACACTGTCCTTTCCGTATATTAATGCCTCTCCTGTGTCTTGGTTATTGCTGCAGCTCCACACAGTACGTCCAGTTTGGGGAGGTAAAAGACGTTCTACAGAGATTGACAGAACCGTCCTGGCATGTCCACACACAGCATGGTTACGGCTGGAGTAGCATCGATATATTCTGGAATTCCTGAAGCACTTTCTCCTTGATACTTAGTACTGTTGCAGGGAGAGAGGATTTGACGTAATTTCCAACCACCAGGCATTGCAGTCCACTGTAAATGTAATTCAAAGGGCCATCTTCTGAACTAATGCAGCTGCAACATTTAAGGTTCCTGTCCCCACTGGGGAGAATCTGTTGTAATCTGCTCTGGTTCCCTCAATGAAAGACATTGTTCTGGTCATTGCAATTAACCAGTAAGTCAGTCAACAGTGTGCCCTTGTTGCCAAAAAGGCCAATGGCATTTTGGTATGTATATGTAGGGGCATTGCCAGCAGATCGAGGGACGAGATCGTTCCCCTCTATTCGACATTGGTGAGGCCTCATCTGGAGTACTGTGTCCAGTTTTGGGCCCCACACTACAAGAAGGATGTGGAAAAATTGGAGAGAGTCCAGCGGAGGGCAACAAAAATGATTAGGGGATTGGAACACATGACTTATGAGGAGAGGCTGAGGGAACTGGGATTGTTTAGTCTGCGGAAGAGAAGAATGAGGGGGGATTTGATAGCTGCTTTCAACTACCTGAAAGGGGGTTCCAAAGAGGATGGATCTAGACTGTTCTCAGTGGTAGCTGATGACAGAACAAGGAGTAATGGTCTCAAGTTGCAGTGGGGGAAGTTTAGGTTGGATATTAGGAAAAACTTTGTCACTAGGAGGGTGGTGAAACACTGGAATGCGTTACCTAGGGAGGTGGTGGAATCTCCTTCCTTAGATATTTTTAAGCTCAGGCTTGACAAAGCCCTGGCTGGGATGGTTTAGTTGGGGATTGGTCCTGCTTTGAGCAGGGGGTTGGACTAGATGACCTCCTGAGGTCCCTTCCAACCCTGATATTCTATGATTCTATGACACCGGTTGTGTGTAAATGCAAGGCATTCTACAGGCAGCAGAAGCTACAGAAACTGTAAGTAACACCATTTTGTTTAGAGTACTCCGGGTCTTAGCGCCCATATTAGGAGAAGGGTGCCATAACCATTCCTCTGATCTGGGGGAGGGGGTTAAGACTAGGGCAGTAGCAGGAGCCTTGGAGTAGGGATGTAAAATGTCAACCCGCCTTAACCATTAACCCCCCCAGGCCAACCGACTGGCCGGCCCCAGCAGCCCCGCCCCAAACAGTCCTGGCCCCAGCTGGAGCGGCTCCAGCCCCAGCCACACCAGCCAGCCCTTTAATCAGTTAACCGTTTAAACAAAATATTTCTTAATCTTTAAACTTTTTAAACAGTGTTTACATTCCTACCTTGGAGCAAGCAAAATTGCTGACTGAGGATTGAGGGTACACGTCTACAGCGGATAAAAGCCCAATGGCATAGCCGCGGCTGGCTTGGCTCGGCTCAGCTGACTTGGGCTCACAGGGCTCAGGCTGCAGGGCTAAAAACTGTTGTGTAGACATTCGGGTTCGGACTGCAGCCTGAGCTCTGGGACCCTCCAGCCATAGACCAAATTCTACACAGCAATTTTTCAGCCCCAGAGCCCAAGCCCCACGAGCCTGAGTCAGCTGATCCGGGCCAGCCATAGGTTTTTTTATCCCTTTGCTACATGTGTCAGAGAAGACAGACTGAAGCCAGCAGTCTGGATTTGTAGAAACCAGACCAAAGAAAAAAAAGTTGAGGTTTAAAATACTAAAAGGAGAGAAAAGAAAATACGTAACTGCTTCAAATTCTTTTAATCTACCACATTTATAAAATGAGACTACACAGACCACAGAGATATTCCTCGTCAGCATAATGCACAGAGACTACATAGCAACAAAGGCCAATATAAAATAGTCCGGGTCATTTACAAGTGTGTCCGTTCCAGATTAAGCTGATTTTGTACTTTCTCCTTAGCTCCGCTAGTAGTGCCCTTACATAAGAACACAGCTTCTAGCCCTGCCTCTGACTGTCCCTGAAAATGTGTTTGGTAATTGGCATGGGGACCTGCTGAGATATAAACCATCATACCCTGTAGGAAATACCTAGATAAAAGGGTGACATTTAACAAAGTCAACATACTTCTTCAAGAGGAATGTCACGATTACCCATGGGGACTGCGTTGTCTGTTCTCTGAGCCACAAAGACATGCTTGACACTTGGACAATTCTTTACAGCTTCATCCACAGTCTTCTTCAGCTCTACAACTCGTCCTCCCCTGACTCCCTGGTTGTAGGTAATGACAGCTTTGCAGCCAGCTAACAAGAGAGAGATTTTACAGACCTATCAGTTTGGTTTTCACTACCTTCACCCTGTGTCACACATGGGGATATTAAGTCACACATTACAATGGTGCGGCTACTCAGAAATTCTATCAGACAGTAACAGCCAACATCACTGACAAACGCTCCTTGTAATCCTGATAAACTGAAGGCAAGATGGCCTTTGCAATCCCAAGGTAGAGGAAGAGAATTACGGCCTGATCTGAAGCCTACTAAAATCAATGAGCCTTTTCGCTGATTTTAATGGGAATTGATCAGGTCCCTTAATGAGTAAACACCATCTTCTTCCAGACAATTCTCATACCTTTTCTATGGAGTAGATAATTTTTTCACTTCAAGGTCCAAGAGACACAGACAAGGTTTTCATCTCAAGGCCAAAAGACCAAAAACATCAAGACACTTGATCACGGCTTTGGACAGGCCAAGAGACTACTTACACTTGATCTTAGCTCATTTCAGCCCCTTCAAATCTTCCATTCAACCCCAATTCCAAGCAAATTCAGTGTCCTTTGGATTTTTTTTTTTTGGGGGGGGGGGGGGTTGTTTTGTTTTTTTAAAAGATGGCAGTGGATTTCTATCACCCAGTTAGCTCATGTGGGGTTTTCAGGATTTCTGGATTTTCCTGGGAGCCATAACACAACTGTACCACTTCAACATAGCACTTCAAATTGCAACACACATTTCATGTTATGTTATTTATGTAGCAGATATATAGCTGTATAATAAAGGAATGTTTACCCATAACCCCTACACTAGTTACCAGAGATAAGACAAAACCTTTACTTGCCCCGCCTAGATTACCTTCCATTCAAAATACTCCGAGACTTAATTCCTCGTGCTAGCCATAGAGAAAGATGATTTTTTAAAAGATGTACTTGTAATAATCATAGGACCTAATGTTTTGTATTAAACCTCTGCCTTTTGATACTTTGTTTCTGTGTGGTCTATCATTGGTTTATTGATTTATATTATAACCTCTTCGGGGTAGCAACTGTCGATATATGCTTATACCATGATTAACACAATGGGGCCCTGATCTTTAATTGGGGCCGTTAGGCACTTCAGAAATACAAATAAATAATTACACGCTGCAGAGTTAGCACTTCACAAGAATGCACTAGGATACTGTCACTTCACTATAAGAGAACATAACCAGCTCCCCTTCCCCTCAAGAGATCTCAGTTTTCCCTATGGTTTAAACATTATTTGAGAGCCATTTAAAATTGATTGAATGTTACAGTGATTTTGAAAGCTTATTAAACCCCCAGCCGTTCATGACAATCAGGAACATAGAGAGTCAACGCAGTGATAGTACTCTGATGCTTCTGCTAAGGAGAGAACTGAACTGCCCAGCAAGAGGAGAATAAGCCAACCATATTCTGGGTGTGCCTTTCTTTGAAAGCTGAATGTTGAATCTGGATCAAAGGATCAATCCTCCAAGGAGCAAAGCACTTTCCTAATATGCTTGTTCATCATTTTAAAACTACTTACAATCAATGATCCTCCCAGCTAAAGATTCTGCACTGAATCCAGCAAAGACCACTGTATGAACAGCACCAATTCTGGCACAAGCCAACATGGCAGTCACAGCCAGTGGAGTCACAGGCATATAGATTGCAACCCTGTCCCCTTTTTGTACTCCATATTTCTTCAGTGTGTTGGCAAGACGGCAGGTCATGTCCAGAAGTTCCCTGCAGCACAGAAAGAGAGTTTCTTGTCATTTTCACCTGCAAGCTGCTTTACATTCATTTGCTCCTAATTAAAGGTTTATGTCTACAAACGTAGGAACCTGAACCCAGAGGGTCATGATGGGCAACTGCTCATCCATCCTCAAAGCTCTTATCTGTATAGTCCTACAAGGTTCAATCTTCTCCCCCATACTTTCCAGCTTCTCTGGGGATGGCTATACCACACGGGAAGACGTGACTGTATCATGGGTAGGCATACCCAAGCTAACTTTATATCTAGCTAGCCCAGGTAATAATAATCAGAAAGGTGGTGGCGTGGACTTCAGCAGAGGCTAGCAACCCCACTGAGTAGGTACCCAGGGTCCCTGGCTGGCTTGTACTCAGGCAACTGAAGCCCATGCCACGCTGTCTTCACTCCTATTGTTACCTGTGCTATCTGAATTAACACCAGGAGAGGTATGCCTACCAGTGCTACAATCACCTTTACTTGCAGTGTAGACATACCCTATATGAGGCCGTTGGGGAGCTGATGACACAGCACAGGCTGAAGTGCCAGCAGTTCTCAGTCTATGCCCAGATCTGTATCTCCTTTATATCTGATGTAAACAGCGCAATCTCCCAGCTTTTTCAGCTCCTAGCCAAAATCAACACTTGCACGTAACCAATGCAGCACTCAGAAGAGAAGCTGAGGAGACAGCCACAAAATAACGAAGAGGAGGCTATACATAGATATGTGGAGGCAAGAAATGGATTGGTCTTGTGGTTACAGGGTTCATTCGGACACAGATTCTCTTTAATGATAGGGTACCATATTTAGACTTACAGATTTTAAGGCCAGAGGGGACCATCATGATCATCTAGTCTGATCTCCTGCACATCAGGCTACAAGATTTTTAATCAAGCTAATATGTTTTTATATGAATTTTGGTTTATGCCAGTTCACTGTTCCAAGCTGCCCACTCATTCCTCAATGCAATTCACCATCTGGATAAGATAATGATTTAAAAAAAAAAAAAAAAAAAAAACAGTGGTTTGCCGAGCAGCTAAATTTAGTCCCCACTAGCATCTGCTATTCTCACAAACACCTTCCGTTTTCCACAGAGGCAGAACACCTGGCCATGGGACTTAGGAGAGACACTCCCAGAATAAGCTGCCTTGGTCTTCAACATTTCAGGCTACCTCCATCTCTCTAGAAAGTGCACTGCAGCCCTTCAATGAAGTTTACAGGACATGCTTTCATCAGAGAAAGCATTATTGTACACTGTCTTTAATCCAGATGGGCATCTGTATTGGTGATAAAGTCAATGGGAGCTGCATATGCAGATCAAGTATATGGTCCTAAGCATCCAAACTGCATTAAGAGACAACAGAATGTGTTTACTTTTCAAAATCACCTCAGGGGAGCAGAGACTTAATTGTGACAAAACCAAAAGTTGAAACTCCTCTGTCCGTATAGGGTAGCATACTGAAAAAGCGGAGACACTTCAGAAAAGAGCCACGAGAATGATTAAAGGATTAGAGAACACACCTATAGTGACAGAATCAAAGAGCTCAATCTGTTTATTTTAACGAAGAGAAGATTAAGGGATGACTTGATTGCCATCTATATGGAGCTAAACGGGGAACAAATATTGAACAATGGGCTCTTCAATCTACCAGAGAAAGGTCTAACATGATTCACTGGCTGGAAGCTGAAGCTAGACAAATTCAGAGTGGAAATAAGGAGTTAATTTTTAATGGTGAGAGTAATTAACCATCACTGACAATTTTTAAAACAAGACTGGATGATTTTTTTCTAAAAGATCTGCTCTAGTGATTGTTTTGGTGCAGTTCTCTGGCCTATATTATACAAGAGGTGAGACTAGATGATCACAATGGTCCCTTCTGGCCTTTGAATATATGAATGAACCTTTGAATAATATCAGTGGAACAATGTAGGTGGCAGTAGAATGGACGGTAATGTGTCTTTGTGTTTTGCCAGGTTGCCTAAGCAATGCAGCAATTGCAGTAGCTGCAAGCCTATTACTATATTTGGCTCTTCAAGTATGGCCCGATTTTCAGCGCTGCTGGGCGGCACAGCTCTCATTGACTTCAGTGGAAGCTCTGGCTGCTCAAAACCTCTGAAAATCAGGCCATAAATTCACTTCAACAAAAAACTTTGGCATCTTGGAGCAGAACTGCAGTAACTACTTGATATTTCAGAAATGTCTAAGCTGCAAGGATAAACACTGCATTTATTTTACATGTATGAGAGCAGAGGCAGAGTGAAATATACCCCTGAGAGACTAGTCTGAACAGTATATTTTACAAGAGTGTGATCAACAACTGGGTCATGCTCCTTACAATGTATAATTTCATTATGGTATGACATTATTTGGAATGGTGGTACAGGGGGTCGTTGTCACAAGAACAAAACCACAATCCAGTTCCTTGTAGAAAGAAACCCAAAAGCACCGAATAAGAATAAATGCACTATTCACACTGCCTGTCCACGTGATGCATTGGGTTAATGGCAGAAATGGTCCTCTGTCAAACAAAAAAAAGACAGCATTGTGCGCTTCACAGATTGCAATTTCTCATACATTTCCTTCAGCATCTGTACTGTGGAGAACAGACCAGAACAGCCACACCTTGGGGCAAGGTGTTGTCATGGTTCACAAACAAAACAGGTCTCAGCATGGTTTAGTGCTTGGATTGAAGAACTCCAAGAGCAACCCAGATTATTCCAGGATGTGGTATTGGTAAAGGAGCTAGCATGAGCCAAGTAGCCAGAGGGCTAGGGAAAGCTCTGGGGCTCCCTGAAGGCAGCAGGAGCTTTGAGCTGCTGAAACCCAGGAAACAACAGCCCTGGGGCATGGCAGGGAGATCACATGTGATGAAAACTCTCTCCTAGGTTCTGAAATTCATTGGATCTTGGTGTCTGTGGGTGTAAAAGATCTTATCTCCCCTAGCACACACTGGTACGCTGGGGTTAGTGCTGACTCAGACAGGAAAGTACCCTCTAGTAACTCACCCACCCCCGTCTCTGCAACACAGCGCCCCCATCACCACATTAGGTCCAGGGATGGCTTCAATGTTTTTTTTGACAAGCTCAAGATATTTTGCATCCAACCATTAAAAAGAAAAACTGACTCTGTCCTACTCTCCCTTGCCACTCTTCCACTGGTCAGCAAAAACTAACTCACTCTTTTCTACACAGACCACACCTCATTATGAATTAATGTGGACAAGCCACACAACCTTGCTAAGGGTAGGTCTATACTACCCTGGAGACTATGGCAGCCCAGCCCAGGAGTGCAGATGCAGCCTACACCAACAGAAGGGGTGTTATCATCGATGTAGGAACACCACCTCCCCAAATGACATAGCTACATTGACAGAAGCAGTCTTCTGTGGACATAGCTGCATCTACACTGGGGGCTATATTAGCATGGCTATGCTGGCCAGTTTTTCACACCCCTGGCTGACACAGGTATGCCCATACAACTTTCAAGTGCAGACCAAGCCTCAGCCATGCACAGCACTCCTGGTAGCACAACATTTCTAGCACCATGTGGGATGTATACAGCTAATGGGAGCATTACAGGAGGAATCCTGTGAGGTTGGAATTAGCTTGGTCCCCTAATATTTTAAGATAGCACCTCCATCTGCATGGGAAGGAGGTGGATGGGATGCAGACGCACAGAGGGAAAAGGGGAAGACAGAATAACGATCGGTGGTCATTAAAAATCCCATGAGATTTTTTTCAAGAAACAGGAAAATTAGCCTCAAATCCAAAATGGGCAATTGTGTTCTGTACTCCTAGATCGCCCTCCCCCCACCCAGCAAATGCATTCCCAGATAAATACATGAGCACTCTGATCAGTCATTCATTAACTATATACGGGGAGACACCTTCAAATTCTTGATCCCAGCCTTGTCCCCCAGAAATGTACATCTTGTTCAGCAGCGTGCTGGGCAGGGCACGCTCACAGCAAGTCCCTCATTTCATCAAAGGAAAATGTAACATGCACCACCCTTGTTATTCCAAATGGAGTTTCCCACACTAGTCCAAACATGCTGGTTAAGATAAAACAATAAGATAAGTTAATTAACTACAGAAAGATAGATTTTAAGTGATTACAAGTGATGGTGCATACAAGTCAGGACTGGTTACAAAAGAAAATAAAAGAGTAAAATGCAGCTAATACTTAACTTAACGAGCTATGTGAATTTAAAAGCAAAGATTTTATCTCACCATATGCTGCAATAAATTTCACAGGCTGGGTCTCCTTTCAGCCTGGGACCTCACCCCCTTAGTTCAGTTCTTTGAGTCGTTGATGTCATGAGCAGAGATGAAGGAGGAGAGAGGTCATTTGTGCTGTGTGTGTCCTCCATTTTTATACCCTTCCCCGCACCTTGAGAATTACCCCTCCCTGCACTGGGGTGCAAGCAACAAGTAGTCTCTTGTGGATATGAGGGTTGAACTGTCCCTGTGATTAAATGTAAATTTCTTATTCACACCTTCCTGTTCCTGGAGAATGGCAGCTTAAGCAAGTGATAGCTCTTTAACACCTGGCTGGGGTGTCAGTGTGTCTTTGTCTCTGAAAAACTGGTTTGGGCCTGCTTTTCTTAACACTGGAGTATGTTATAACAATGCTACACAGCAGAATCTCATAACTTTACATACAATGTTGATACACATATTTTACCAGGATAATAATGTTCAGCAGATCATGAATTTTCAAATGGTACCTCACAAGGCATGCTTTGTACAAAAGTATATCCTAGACTTGTAAAAGTGGTCAACATAATAGTATAGACCAGCAGATGTGGGGTAATCTGCCCCTTGCATTAGGTCTCATCCTGATCTCTAATAGCTAGAGACTGCTAATAGCAGCTGGCTTAAATCTGAAAGCACAACGTTTAATATCCCTTCCAAAATTTTTGTTAGCAATAAGTTTTCTAACTCATATTCTTGTTATCCATATAAATGCCCAACTTTTTCCCCTTAATCTTGCTAT